GGGCTGGCACTGCATGGCCTCCCCCAACCACCTCATCTACGCCATCGGGGGCAGCGACGACCACGAGGACACGGCGGAGCGCTTCGACATCCTCCACGTGGAGTCCTACGAGCCGCGCGGCGGCGGCCAGTGGACCCGGGTGGCGCCGCTGCTGCTGCCCAGCAGCGAGGCGGGGCTCGCCGTGTGGGCGGGGAGGATCTACGTGCTCGGGGGCTACAGCTGGGAGAGCATGGCGTTCTCCAGGGCCTCCCAGGTGTACGACCCCGACGAGGGCTCGTGGTCCAGGGGGCCCGACCTGCCGAAGTGCGTCGCGGGGGCCTCGGCGTGCGTGTGCGCGGTGAGACCCTCGCCGGCGGCGGAGACCAAGGAGAGGGGACGCGGGCCGAAAGGGGGATCAAACCCCACGTAGCAGCGTCGCACTCGACGAGGTCATCGGGCTGCGACCTGTTCTGGCTGGGAGAAGAGCTCGCTTTCGTTTATAAATCTGCTCGACCTGCAGCGGAGACACGTGGGACCGCCGGGGGGAGACGAACGTCTGTCCCGTCCACGTCTGCCGGAGCCGAGTGACGGAAAATAAGACTCAAATGCAAATGACGTGTCGGCGCCACGGCGTCTTTAACATGCAAAGAAGAAACATCACATCCGTAACTTGTGTTGAAATGTGTTTTTGTGTGTGTGAACAGATCAAGTTTGGCCTAAAATTCTTATTTCTGTATTATATTTAATAAAAAACAGCAGGTGTTGAGACAAACGTGCAGTTTTATTCATTACAAAATCTGACGGACAACCTGGTCTTTGTTACATCACGTTCTTAAAGGGCCGTTTTCACTTTGAGGATTAAGCAAACGAGGCCTGGAGGATCCCCGGCGCGTGGCGCCGCCTGCAGCTGCTCTCCAGCCTCGTTGCCGTGGTGATAGAAGACGGCGTCTCTCCTCTCCTCATGCGAAGGGGTAGTACGGATGAGACTGGACTCTGAGAGACAGGGCGGCAGGCCGTCACCACGTACTACCGCGTACTACCGCGTACCAACATGTGCTGTTGTCCACTCACTCTTCGAGCGTGAAGGTCCTCCGGCCGCGGTCCAGTCCTCTCAGTGCCCTCGTGTCCTCGTCGGTCAGACTGAAGTCAAAGATCTGCACGAAAGTCGAGAGTTGGACAAAAGAGGCCCCAGTGAACCCGTGACTCTTGCGGTGCAGTTGCGTGAGACGCGTGTTGGGACGGAGCCCGGGGGGACGGGGACGCGGTGAGCTTCTACCTTGGTGTTCTGCATGATGCGATGGGGGTTGTCGCTGTTTGGGATGACTGCAACGCTCTGCTGCACGTGGTACCGCAGCAGTATCTGAGAGAACGCTGCTTTTACTAACAAGGGAACACACACACACACACACGCACACGCACACAGCACTCGACATCACGGACCTGTGCAGGACTGCGTCTGTGCTTCTGGGCTATATCTGCCACCACGGGGTCCTCCAGGAGCTTCTCTGGATCCCCATCTCCTCTGGACCTGAAGCAAGATACAAAAGGCATAGCTGATGTTTTCGTCTTTTTATCGCGGAAAGGAATCGGACGCGAGGGGGCCCCCCCCCCCCCCGCTCACGTCTCTGGGGGTCCAAGGGGGCTGAAGGCGGTCACGGCGATGTCCTTGGATCTGCAGAACTCTATCATCTCTGTCTGCGCCAGGTAGGGATGAAGCTCAACCTGCGGAACGACACGGCGCCACACAGCGAGGCGTTTTAAAGCGCAGCCCGTTGCCACGTCGCGCCCACGCGTGACCGCTACAGTGACGTGCCGCGGTACGAATAGGCTGAACGTGCAGAACCTGGTTGACGGCAGGAGGTTCTCTGCACAGGGCGACGAGTCTCTCCAGCTGCAGCCTGTTGAAGTTGGACACGCCGATGCTCCTCACCTTCCCCGAGGCTTTCAGGGCTTCCATCCCCTACAGGGAGACACGCAGCAGAGCACACGCGCATTGCAGTTCGTAGACGGATGATTATTATTGTGGGTGAACGTGTCAGAGCCGCGTTTGCCACGGTTCTTACCCTCCACACGTCCACGTAGTCCACGTCAGACGTCAGCACCCGTCCGTCCTTCTGTGGGAAAAGCTCGTCGCCCACTTTCTAGGATGAGGAGGAGGAGGAAGAAGAGTCGAGCCGTGTTTCACCACGTGATTAGAATGACAAAGCAGCTGAATGCAGATTGTCCGACTGGTACGTTTGGGGTTTAAAGTGCTCAACCTTCAGGCCGACGGGGAAATGCACCAGGTAAAGGTCCAGGTAGTCCAGCTGCAGATCCTTCAGGGACTTATTCAGGCATGTGGGGATGTCCTCTGGGGCGTGGTGGGTGCACCACAGCTACACAACAACGGCAACAAAGACACAACACAAAACACCTTGAGTTTAGGCAGCAGCCGCCGATCCGCTCGTCACAAATGCACGGGTGCGAACAGACGGCGTCCCCCCCCACCCCCCCCCACCCGGGGGCGTCGCCGCTCCACCCACCTTGGCGACGACCAACATGTCGCGGCGGCGGACGAAGCCCTGCCGCATCTTGGAGCGCAGGGCCTCGCCGACGTGCGCCTCGTTGCCGTAGAGGCGGGCGGTGTCTATGTGGCGGTAGCCCGCCGCGATGGCGGCCTCCACCGCGCCCTGCGGCGAGGCGCGGGGCGGACGGGAGCCCTGCGGGAAGCGAGCAACGGTGTGAACAGGCGTGTCACACGCGTCCTGCGCATTGAAATTCTTGTGCTTGTCTTTTCTGGACAGCCGAGCGATTTTAAAAAATTAAAATTAAAATACGATATTTACATAAATGTACATGAAATAAAAATAAAAAGGAGGAAAAGTGCAAAACTGAGCCGGTTGTAAAAAGAAAAACTTTGACAGCTTTGACTAGCAGCGATGGAGACGGTGACTTCCACCTCGAGCTGAGCGCCTGACTAGATGATCCAACCGACCTTCTAGCACGTAGAGGGTCTAACAGACTCTCTCACTGAGGCAGGAGGCCCGGTGACAGTTGGTCAGACCAACCGTCAAACACGGAGCACGCGGGTGTCCTCTTACCGATACGCCGCATGTGTTCATCACAGCCAAACAGGAGATAAATCTATCAGACCGGTTTGAATGACTTGTGCCGTTTGACCTTGAGGGGTTTCGGGCGACCAGGAGACGGCCTTTCTTCTTTGGCAGACGTCCTCCGGTAAACACCGTCGCGCCTTTACGACCCCGGGAAAAAAAAAAACCCAGAGATCCGAGTGCACAAAGTACCTTCCACGTCCCGAAATCCCAGAAGGGCATACGGTGCCGTCGCTCAGCTCCACGGCCCTTCCCGCCTCCATGGAGACGCCGGACTCAAAGCAAACTAAACCCTCTTGCTGAGGCGTCGGGCCTCTTCCTCTTTATCTCCCCGACGGCCACCGTCGGGTCGGCGTTCCTTCCTCTTTACTCGACTTCCCCCTCGCTGAGGCCGCGGCGTCTCTCTCTCTCTCTCTCCTTCGCTTTATCGCTCCGGTGGTTAATCATTGGGCAGCAACACAAGCACCGTGCCGCGGGCGAGGAGGGAGGGGCATGTCGCAAAGGTCACTCGTCTCATAGGGGCCGGAGGGCCCACACACACACACACACACACAGGTAAATGTGCTGTAATCTGTCCAGGGCATCAGACGGCGGTGTTGTTGTTGTGTGTCTGCGCGGTTTGCTCTCCAAAGTAAAGGACGTGTTAAAAACGACTTGATACATTTAAAAGTTTATTCTCAAAACTACTCAACCAGTGTGGCAAGTTACTGAAAATGAGTATTTAGTTACAGCTACTAGTTACTTCTTTTAAAGGTGATTGAATTACTCACCAGTTACTGTGTATCAAAAGTAATTAGTTACTCTGGAATGAAACTTTTAAGTAACTTTTATGCTTTTTAAATGCAATGAATATAAATGGTACTGAACAGTCAAACACAATAAACATATTTTTTAGACCTATTTATTGTAATCAACAGGCCTCCAAATCAAGAAATAGTACAAAAGTCCCTTTTAATACTTAACTTAATACAGAATAACTGTTTCAGGTGTCGGACTCGACGCACAACGTTTGGTGACACAACTGTTTAGTGCCGACAGGCAGCTGTTTACTTACTATTTGCCGGCCGGCCGCTTCGCGTCACCAAAGAGAGGAACATTTCAATTTCAGTAATTGTAACTGCGTTAATTTATTTTAGTTGCATGCTCGTTACCGGTAAAAGTAGTGGAATTACAGTACTGCGCTACTTTGTAACCAACACTGGTCGTGTATGATAATACCTCCCATTAAAATCACCAAGCAATGTCATCGGTTGAAGGTATTTGGTCGATTACCCCAAAACGTTGGCCCGCCGATGCCGCGGGCGAACACTGGAAAGCGTTTAGATAACGCGCACGTTAAAATGTCCCAGCTCGCAATGCAACAAAGAGAAACGCCGCCCAGGTGAAATCCGTCTCATCGCCCCCGGTCAGAAACCGCACAACGTTCCACCGTCACGTCGTGATGGATGGCGTGAAAACAAGATATAAAATATGCTGTTGTGCGCCGTTCGGTCTGTTGTCGATCGGCAAACTGCTTTGTTCTTACAGCCAACACGTTTTTATTGGCTAGCTGGTAATAAAACCAGTAAATACATTTATACGTGACGCACAATTGACGCACAGACACAGAGAATGTTTGAATGTTCTGATGAAGGCCACGCCGATGTAGTACGTAACATGGATACTAAAGTCTATGTATTAACCTCCCATTGGGGCAGCGGGGACGTCTACAACACTGCAGCTCATATCAAGGAGGTTACGTCACAGCATTGGACAAATCATATAAATACACACAAACACGCTGCCTGTATAAAATATAAATATTAGGTCTTCTCGCTGCAGACGCTTCACATCACAGTCAGACGCCTTTACGTCGCCGCGCTGACGCCGACGCGCAGTTTTCTGCATCCTAACTCCTTCATCTTTAACTGGACATACGGCAGAATAAAAACGCCAAAGCCGGTTCCATCAGCGGATGTTTGACGGCGCCGTCCTCCGCGCTCCGCGCTCGGCGGGGACGCCGTCACTGGTCCAGGTCGTTGCCGTTGCGGCTGCGGGGCCGATGGTGGCGCCGACAGAAGTCCCGGATCCGACCGCAGGCCTCCACCATCATCTCCTCGGGCACCGTCACCACAATGCGGAAGAAGTTGGGGTACTCGAAGGCCTGGCGAGGGGGGGGGGGGAGGATAACGGCCATCAGAGACGCGTCTTTCTCTAAATGTGAACGAAGGGGACGACGGGTCGCTGAGGTCTTACCGAGGCAGGGAGACAGAAGACGGACTGCTCGGTCACCAGCTGTTGAGTGAAGTCCACGTCGTCCTTAAAGCCTGGAAAGTGGTCCATGTCAATCCCCACCTGGACAAATGTTGTAAAAAGGGGAGATTTTCATCAATTGCCACCTCGTCGGGTTTTTCAATCGCCACATAAGCGGGATAAACCACACTCACCATGAGGTACATGGCTCCTGAGGGCATGACGGGGTTCAGGCCGGGGACGGCGTTCAGCTCATTGAAGCAGATCTCAGAGTTGGTCTGAAGAAAACAGTGTGAAGCATCAGCCTTTTATATGAACACGTGAGTGTTAATCACAAATCAGCAGTCAGATTGTGTTTAAACACGAGTGGCTGCCGCTGGTTGGTTTGCCGCGCCGTCTGTCTGATAAGTTGGCTCAACTTTTAGCAGGATGTTCTCTCTCTGTCTGAAATGCTTTGACCACATCATCATTTTAGCACATTAAATGTCTGCAGAATCCATTCTGGCTCCCGACAACACGTCAAGAAGACGTTGTGTAACGTTAACCCATCCAGGGACCCCTGAAGCAGCATTAACGTATCGAGAAGACGAGTCGTTGGGTGCAGATGGGTGCCCACCTTCAGGAAGCCGACGGTGCTGTCGTAGAAGCCTTGGGGCGTGTTGTTGAGGATGCTCTCCAGGGCTCCCTGGACGACGGTGCAGGCTCCCAGGATGCGTTGGCTCAGTTTCAACAGGCCCTGGCGGATCTGCGGGCAGGAATGCGAGCGTCACCCAACGAGACGTCTTCTCGTTCCCTCCGCCCAACCCGAGAAGGCGCATACCTTTGACCCAAACACGTCGTTCCTGTCGTGGATGAGGATCCATCCCATCCTCCAGCCGGGAACCAGCCAGCGCTTAGCCAAGCCGCTGCAGGAGAGGACGGGCACGTCGGTGCTTAGGGACGCCATGGACGGGCAGCTGCATCCCGGGAAAACCTGATGACAACGTGACATGCTGGTGACGTAGCGCTCGGGTGGCTATTGAAATTCTCATTCCAGTCTTCGGCAAACTGCTGGCTTGAAAGCTGCGAGTAATCGTGGTGTCATTGTGGTTGTTCATCGTCCTTAACAAGGACCGGACTATTTGCCACTCCAATGTAAGACTTCAGCTGGTTCGGTGCCTTTTTGGGGGCAAGACGTTTGACCCCAAAGTGGCCCCCGTGGCTCCCCGGGGGAGGAAGGTTAGCTAGGCCTTGATGGACAGGAGCGAAGGGGCCCTGTCATCAGTGCATGAATGGATGAACGATGACGTCCGGTGGTCGGAGGACTAGAAAAGCTCCACGCGAGTACATGTGTTTCTTCTATCGGTCTCTCGGCAGTCAAACGCTCCCCTGGGCGATCAGGCTGGAGGGGTCTGACGGGGTCTGAGAAACCAGCTTATCCGGAGCGCTGAGAAAGAACCGACTACGCACCAAAACAACAACAACAACAACAGAAAGATGCTGAAGCAAAATGAAAACGAAGCTTTCATGTGCGAATGACCCTTCTGACATTAGACACATCCTACTAGATAAACAGGGTATAAACCCATGAACTACTGTGCAGCACAGAGGCTTTGGGGGGGGGGGGGGGCAGTAACCACATAGAAAGCTGGTTCTCATTAGAAGCCAAACCTCTTTGGGATCCGCCCCGCGTCCTATTGGTCCGACTGCTACGAATGACATAACAGCAGCGTGAGCCACGAGCCGGAGTTCGCCCCCCCCCACCTCCTCGCAGGAGGACCACAGAACCCATTGTGCTCAGCCAGGTAACGCTGATGCACGAAGGGTTACGGGCGCTGTGCAGACCTACACGCATCCTCCACCCAGCGGGGGGGGGCTCTGTTTACTGCTCGGGCAGTTTACTGCTCTTATCCCTCCCCCTCCCCCCCATTCCAGCTCCCCGCCAGACCCACAGCCCCGTTCCTCGCAAGCTGCTCCGGTGCCAGAACCCGACTTCTGCACTGATTGCAAACACATGCACAAAATCGCAAAGTCATTCTGGTGGGCTTGAGTTCAGCGTTGAGCGGTCGGGCGGAGATGCTTGAACCCAGACACCCCATTTTTCCATTTGCACCAACAACCCAAAACTGAACCCAAATTGAAAAACTCAATGGTGAGAAATCTTTGTTGTGGCTGCTCTTTATTTTTTCCACGTGTGTCCTTGAACAAAGAAGCCTTGACTTGTATCATCACAATGTCACCAGGGCGGAAAACTACTGGCAAACAGCTCGCACCTTATCTGCCCGTTCCCCTTGACCTGCAGCAGTCTGCGTGCATGTGCACATCTGTGTACACGTTTGCATGACCTCCGGTGAAAGTTGACCGGTTCAGGCTCGTCAAGGCCGACGGCCGGCGCCAAAGCTCCGGGACGAATGTGCTGGAAATGTCTTTTTTTTTCTTGGAAACATTCAAATTTGGTCAATGTCTTTTTAACCCTTTATAATCTCAACTTATTTGAAATTTTTTTACCATTCGTATATAAAGATTCAATCACCGTTCTTGTTGATTAAACGTGTACCAAACCAATGTCCATTTATTTGATGGTTTTCTCACATTAATGAAAAACATTTCGGTTAAATGTGCCGTAGTTGTTTATCACCTGAAGTCCCACGAGACAGATGTTACCAAATAAACCTAAAAGCAGAAGATTAGATGAAAGTGAGAATAAAGCTCTTACACGTTGTCAAGCGCTAACAAGACGCGCAGCACAAACGTCAGACGCCAACATCATGACAACCGTCTATCAACTATCTGTTATCCTGGATAAGCTCTGGCACCAAACGCCGAACCCAAGACTTTGTGGCGGTTCGATCGCCGGCTGAGCCGCCTGTGTCCTTGGGCAAGAACCGTAGCCCAACATGACACAGCTACACAGCCTGATGCTGCAACACAACTTGCCCTTGCTGACCCCCCCATGCGCCCCTCATTCACGGCACATACCCCCACATGGAACGCAACCCGCACCCGTCACTGTGGCGCTGCAACTCACCATGTCGCTGTAGATTTCATCCGCCAGAACGGGGACGCAGCGTCTGGAGGCCACTGGAAAAGGAGACAAAGACAAATTCTGCCGTTTCACTTGGGACAAGCCAAATGCCGCCGCGGGTCCAAATTCACGCTGCCCCCCGACTCCACTGCCAATACGAAGACGTGCAGCGATTGGAACGTCCTCGTGGCGGACCGGCAGCTGACCTTGGAGGATTTTCCGCAGGTGTTCCTCGCTGAAGACGGAGCCACACGGGTTGGACGGGTTGGTGACGATCATGCAGGACGTCCTCTCGTCAATCAGGCTCTCCATTTGCTGCAGGTCCACCTCCCACGATTTCTCTGGCTGCGAATCAGAAGGGAGGTTGGGGTGATGGACGCTGCGGTTAGTTTAGTTTACGCCTCACCTGCCGAAGACCTGGAACTCATTCGTTCATGGGTTTTATTGAGACGTAAGCCGTCACCTACCAGCAGGTTGTAGAGTTTGACCTCGATGCCCATGGAGACAGCCAGGGTCTTGTAGAGGGAGAAGCCCGGGCACGGGACCAGGATGTTGTCCCCGGGGTTGCACAGGACACTGATAGCCAGGTCGATGGCCTGACTGCAGCCGCTGGCCAGAATCACGTCCTGCAGGAACCAGAACACCCACACACAAGTTGACGCAGGCGATGAGGACGAAAGTGAAGGTCGGAGGTGTTAGACGGGGGGGGGAGCACCTCGGCCTCCAGCGGCGCCTCGGGGCAGCTGTAGAAGCTGGCTACGGCCTGCCGGCTCTTCAGGTAACCTGCCGGCGGGCAAACGGGTGGGTTAGATTGTTAGAGGCGTCTTCTCTGGTTGGGCTGCTGAGCATGCGACACGCTGACATCACCACCACATCTCACTCCTGTGCATCGGTTTGACTGTTTCTAAAAAACTAAAATCCCATTTCTTTCCTCTCATGAATTTTGCCGATGTCGTGCAGCTCACCGACAGAAGGAGCGTAGCCGTTGTACTGTTGGGAGTCTATGGCGTCTTTCAGCGCCTGCAGCACGGCGTTATCTGTCGGCAGATTCCCAAACACAGTGGGATCCCCTGGGGAACAAAGGTGATATAAGGCCTCCGGTTAGGAGCGACTGAGGGTCAAAAGACTGAATAAATAGAAGGTGCATGCGGTGAATAGTGTTGTGGTATTCGGTCTTATTGGCCTGACTTGTTTCTGGTATCAGACAGGAAGTGGAACTCATTCGTCATTGATGATATTTACATCAAATAGATCATATTTCTCCAGAAGTGTGTAAACAGGGATTTGGTCACCTATGGAAAGCGAGATCATGGGTTTGTCCGGGTTGGGCGTGAGCTCCATCCCGTCCACGATGGCCCTGATGGGATTCAGGGTGTTGTTGGCCATCTCGGAGGGCCTCACGTCCCACCTCTGCCTGCGGCTCGCGGCCTTGGTGGGACCGGCGCCGCCTCCGACTCCAGGCGAGTTCTGTCTTCGGCTGTTGCCGCCGGTTTGGCCGCGGACTTTATTCCCGTTCAGCTGCACCGAGCGGGACTCGTTGTCCATCGTGGAACTGACGAAGAGGACGGCGAGCAGAAGAGCAGCAAAGCACATTTACTCAATTCAAGTCTTCCCCTCCGGAGGAATAATGTATCAACTCCTTTACATTTACCCAATAGATGGAATTGGTCTTTTCTTTACTCAGTTTTTTGACTTTATGTCATTTCATGAAATGTGTGTTTCGGATTAAACTCCCCAACCCTGTAATAACAAGTCAAAATGATTTCCTCTTCATCTTTTGATAAAGATGAATTCCTAAACATATTACAATATGTAACAATGTAACACGCAGTCAGACTTCTCACTGGCTTTACTTACTTTAAGACATACAGACAGAGATAACCGAGAATAAAGGTGATGAATAGATCTCTACCTTCAGAGGAGCATAATCTTGCTCAATTCTTAAGAGTTCTCCCCAAAATTAACATTATTATCCAAAAACCATCAGCTTCTGTAGCTATTTGTGACATCCTCTCCCTTGAAAAACACCTAAATACCAAACCAGAACGTCACGCAAACACCTTCCCAGGTGACTTGTTTAGCATCAGACAATCCTACTCGCCACTTCCCCCTTAAGATACGCGACTCCCAGAAAGCAGCGGCGCGTGCGGGACGATGAACAGTGAGTCGTGGGGGTTTCGCGGCGGTTATATATGGAGGGCCCCCGAGCGCGGGTGTAGAGCCTTGCCCTCCCTTCCATTGGTCGAGGCCGAGGGCTGAGCCCTCACACGCCTCCTACGCCGCTAACAAGAACCATCCGCGCAATCAATTACCTACCGGGGGGGGGGGACAGATGCGTGGCGTCGTACTGGAATCAACAGAGAGGGCGCAAAGTGCACGAGCGGCGGCATCCCTACATATTCCCATAGCGTGTGTGGTCACGTGACCCTCAGTGGGAAACACTGATGCAGCTGATCTGCAGAGGCTGAGGGGGGATTTGCCTTTATAGTTATTGGTGGGGGGGGGTTGACGTGCTAAAGCGAACACCACAACGGTACCGCATGACGGACACGTAGTCGCTGCGTGCTGCGATGAGAGCACCTCGACATGTTCCAGTACCTTCGGCGGGTCGGTGACCTGCGGTTTGCAGCGGGAAGGGAAAAGAGAAGCGGGCCGCGCTGTGGATAACATATGTAACAACATCTGGGGAAAAGCACTCCAGCTGTTTTGAGGTTTTCAGGGAGGAGGCCCGCTCTACAGAGAGAGTGAAACGGCGCCAGTGGCGGTGAATTAGGTCGTCTGGGGGAAGCGGGTGCAATGGGTGCTGTACTTTTGCACCAATTATGACAAGAAGGTTTATTTTATTTGTATTGATAGCAAAAATAATTCATTCCACAGTAGTTTTAAGGCAAAAAAACTGCTGAACTTTCCACTACTGGTACGTAAAAAGGAAAAAGGAAAACTGCATTTGTGACCCTCGCGTTTGACAACAGCGTCCCTCAAAAAAAAAAATGCAAAGTCATGGTGGAGTTTCAGAGCTCGGCCTCCAACATGCAGCTGGCACAAGCAAGCGTGTGTTACCTTAAGCACATACTAAGGTGTCACATACAAAAACTGAAGAGGAAGCACTACTGATACCTGCAGACAACTAACAGGGCAAAGCTGAATGTCAGCTGCATCCTCATTTTACCTTTAAACCCACTCAGCTGCATTGTGATGCATTCAGGCTCCGTCCAGTGAACGTGGCAGTTATCGCATTATTATGATAATGTAAAACATTGTGATGCACAGTTCTTTGAAGACGATATTGTCCCAGAAACATAAAGATATATATTGGAGATTATTTATGAGCCGTTGACCCTGCAGCTCTGACATCCAAGCTGCTAATAACAAAGGAAGCAGAGCGTCGGCTCATCGGTCGTCGCTCTTTGGCCTCGGATGTGACGCAAGAAAACCAGTAAACACGCACAGCTCGTACGCACGCGTGGAGATAAATAGAACCGATCGAATCCACCCTAAAACATCATCATTTGATGCGTCAATGCAGAGCTACGTTTCTGTAACGAACGCGTCCTCCGATAAAAGGCCTTTGCAGTCAGTCACTTAATGATATGATGACATCATCGGCGCTGACGCAGGGATTCCACGCTCACCACGCAAGCACACTTCACTTTTTGAGTGGATTTTCTTTTTAATGGCGTTACATAATCAATACCCACAGAGTATCCCCCCCCACCTCGCCCTCTAACCACCACCGGCTCGCTTCTTGCGCTTTACGGAGATCAACTACGTCACATCAGATCACAGCTTCAGCGGTTCGATGAACTAAATTCATTTTATTTCGTAAAGCCCCCAAAAATCCCAAATGTTTGCCTGAAAGGGACTGAAAAGGGGACCTTCAACGGCGGAGAGAACAGGAAAAACCCTCTGGCGGAGACGGGATCTCCGTCCCAGGATGTGCGTGGGACGGGAACGATTCTAATAGGGGCCAGAAGGCCACTGCAGCAACGACCTCCACCCAGACAGAAGCACCGTCAGGCAGACAGCGGCGAGGAGAGAAGAGAGCGGAAGCTGCTTCCACAGGAGAGGCGCTGGATGACTGGAGGCTCCCGTCCTACTTCTTAAGACTTTACACCAGCGGAGCCGAGGTGGAGCTTCTCAGCGGGTGGAGGACACCCGGGTCTGGTTAAACGGGCTTTACTGTGATGTGCATCAGGGGTCTCCGTCTGTCTGCGTGGTGCTACAAGCTCCTTGTAATAGGATCCCTTTCAAGTTCTTGTTAATACGAGTCCTGCAGGATTCTGCATCAGCTGCAGAAGCTCAAGAGAACTACGAGACCTGATGATGAAGAAGTGATCCAGCATAGAACAAATTTGATAGATTAAAGATGAAAAACACAGTTCTTTTAATCTGAGGGTTTAAACGCACACGTCCTGGTCAGAGAGACGCGGAGATTCTTCTGAGCCACGCAGACGTTCCACTACCCACCAACTGATCCAGGATCTGATCAAATAACCCGTAGAATCATCTTTAGTTCAACAGGACGTTGCAGGTCATCCAGGTTTTGATGTCCTCAAAGTCCAACAATCATTTCTAAACGCCCGACATTAAGGAGGAAGCATTTCTCGGGTGGAGGTTCTTTCTACAACTAAATCATCATCATTTTAATTCGTCCGTAGGGAAACCACACGGCGAGCATGAAGCCCGTCACGCGTCAGCGCTCCTCGTTACACATTAGATCCTGAACATGTGATGAACTTGGAGGTTATTATGGAATAAACACGCCGTCGTGTGCCTGAGAAAATGTTGCACGCGTTGAATATTTTACTTATTACTGCATTATTGTAGTGAACTTATTGAAATGTAATATCTCTCCACCTCTAAAGCAATTTCTAAAGGTTTGCTTTCTAGAAGCGGCACATGGCACAACTTTTCATATGTCACGTAACATACAAGCACACACACACACAATATGATTTTCTCCATTAGGGATTAACAAAGTATTTGTTGACGTTCTTCACGGTCAAAATATTTAATTTAGTGCAGCGTGAATTCTCCAGCGCACATGCTGCGCTACTGCGAGGGGAGTCTCTTCTTCTTAAAGCGAGGTTTATACTCCGGGTCGCCGTGAAACGGGTCCTCGCTGTCACTGCTCGAATCACCAGAGTAAAGAGTGTTGACGTCAAAGGAAGAATCGGCATCTTTGTCCTCCTCCTCGTCCTCGTCCCGCCTGCTGGCTGGTACCACGGAGGATCTGGGCTTTGTCGCCCGACAGCACTGCTGAGCACTCAATCTGTAAACCCTCACGTAGGGCTGCGGCAGGTCCGGCTGTGGCAGGTCCGGCTGTGGCAGGTGGTCCCGCGGCAGGTCGGACTGCGGCAGGTCCGGCTGTGGCAGGTGGTCTGGCTGCGGCAGGTCCGGCTGCAGCAGGTGGTGTCGCGGCAGGTCAGTCCGCGGCAGGTGGTGCCGCGGCAAGTCAGTCCGCGGCAGGTGGTGCCGCGGCAGGTCAGTCTGCGGCAGGTCCGGCGGCAGGTCCGGCGGCAGGTCAGTCTGCGGCAGGTCCGGCGGCAGATGCGAAGCCTGACTCGGCGGTGACGGCTTGGCGTGGACCCTTGGGCCTCTGCTGGTCTCGGCCCCGAGGGCCAGACAGCCGGCAGGAGATGAAGGAGCCGGTTCCATTTTGACCGCGGCGTTTGGGGCGGTCGCTGCTGCTGGGTGGGTCGCAGGGTCTTTGCTCGTTGCTAGAGGTCCGGCGTCGCGCTCTGCGGTGTGGCGGCGGTGAGGAGACGTCAGCACCTCCGGACCGAGAACCCGTTTGACAACGGACGCGGGGAAGCGTTTCAGAAGCACTCGACAGGGTTTACAGGTGACGGAGGCAATGTCCAGCAGTCGGACCACCGGGGACAAGCGGACGGACGCGCGAGTGTCTCTGGAGGAGAGCGGAAGTTCTGTATGAGACGCATCAATCCCCGATCCAGCGGACCCGGACCTCCGGTCGCCTTCAGGAGCCTGGACTCCGGCGAGAAGGTGGGCGGCGGTCTGCGAAGGCGGACGTGGTTGGTCAGGGGGCAACGGGACGATGTCAGAAGGCGTGAGGTCCTCCGATGAAGGGGCGTCGGGTGAGGACGACGGGAACAGCAGCGGGGACGAGGAAGCGTGGGCCTGTGGCGGCGGCAGCAGCTCTTCGGAGCACTCCTGCAGGATGCTCCTCACCCATCGCTGGTGCTTGGAGCAGAACTGAGGGGAGGCGGGGGCCTCCTCCGTCCTCCTGGCCGCCTCCTCTCCGTCGGCCTCCGTCCCCCCCAGAAAAACCTCCGGCTGAAAGCGCGGGAGAGTCTCAGGGGGCTCTGAAGAACGCCGCCGCCGCAGAGCGGGCCGAGAGGGCGGAGACATCTCCATTGCCGTCGACGGAGACGTGCTGCCCGGACGACAGGAAGCAACATCTGGAGGGACGGAGAGGCGGCGCATCGTGATTAACCAACGCAGGACCCACATTGAAACACACAAGGTATCGCACATGGAAACACAAAGAGACCGGATTCCGCTTCGAGTGAGTCACTGAAGAGCAGAATCTTCTCACCAGACCTCGGCGCTCGTCGCGGCTAACGCCGCCGTTAGCCGCTACTAGCACGTAGCACAGGTCACGCGCTCAATTGAATGAATTCATGAGATTCTCCATCACGTGACGTGCGTGGGACAGGACGGCGCCCCCTTGGTGGGGTGTGCCCCCCCCCGTTTGGTTTACCCCTCCTGGGTGTGATCATCTGCACGGTGGTTTTGTGTAGCAAACCTTAGCGTGTCAATGTGGACGAGGTGGATAACGTGAAAAGCGCCGCGTCTCGTCGGGTGCAATCGAGATTCCTGGGCGCGTTGTTGTTGTTGTTAATTACTAATCGATGGGACCTGTAGAAGGAGTTACTCTCCTTGCAGGGGGGGGGGGAGGGGGCCACGGCCACCATTGGTCAGAGAACGGTCACCCAGGTGAGTCCCTCCCCGTTTTTCCCCATGGAAGGTTTTTCATTGTCTGGGGAGGTTTTCCTGTGCCGATGTGTACAGACTACAAATTCGCCTCAGAGGGCTTTGCAATTTGCGATTTTGGGCTCTACAAAATAAAATAAACAGAGTGAATACAGGGGGATGTACTCCACTACAGGGAAAGGGGGTCCCGTGCTGTCCACGTTAAAAACAATGCTGGGGGGGGGGGGTCACACAGTGAGCTTCACTTCTGCAGGCGGTCGAGTTTCTCACCACAGCGCAGCAGTTTCTTCAGAGTGGTCGCTACGTCGGCGGCGTCAGAGGTAATTACTTCCATCAGCAGCTTCTCCTCCTCCTCCTCCTCAGTCACAGGGCTCTCCTTCTTCAGTATCTGGTGCAAACATCCATCCAATGAGACGTTTGCATCATGGGAGGGCAGAGGGAATTCAAGAGGGGGGGGGACTTGAGAAACCCAGTCTCTCCTCACCACTTTTCACAATAAAAATCAAGAAGACATTTAAATAAAACTACTTGTGACCAGAAGAGTCGCCCCCTGCTGGCCAGTATGCACATTTACACTTCACTGCAGAACCGCCGGATCTGATCGACCAAAATGATGCTTTCATAAAGAGCATCACACACACACACACACACACACACCTTGTCAATGTAGGAGTCTCCTGGTAACGCGGCCTCCAACTCTTGCAGGTAGTGCAGCAGCCGGTCCTCTACTTTCTGGGCGTAACGTTCACCGTACTGCTCCTCCATCTGGTTCTGAAGGTCAGCAACAACCAGACGCGTCACCACCACTAGCAAACGTCTGGCTCGCGCCGCTTTAATGCGATTGGCGACGGCAAGTGTGCCGTGCGTTGGCTCACCGCGACGTAATATTCCAGTTTGTCCTTGTTCATTGCGAGCGCTTGTGCCAGAGTCTTAAAGTCCAGATGGTTCTTCCTCATTAGGAACATTTCACGTTGGCTCTGCACAAGAGAGAAAGGACGCAAGATGTTTGTGATGACAAGAGGCCGAATACTGCAACACTTAATAACGTGCATCAACTGAGAAACAGGCGGACAGATGAAACCAGATGTAGAAGGTACACCTACACATTGGCCCTGGTACTGAGGGAGTTTACTCGGGAAGAACTGGCTGGTTTTTAACACGGTTTCCACCATTCCTCGGCCGACCCGGAGCATCCTCATGATGACCTGGAAGCAGAGACACACGCGTGTGTGTGAAGCACACAGTGAACGGACGGACGGACGGACGGATGGATGGATGGATGCTACCACTCATCTGCTCACCAGCGTCTTCAGACCAAACGTGATCTTCATGTGTTTGATGGAAGCCACCAGGCCGGGCAGGAGCCGGTGAGTGGCCTCCAGGAAGCCCACCGCTCGCTCGAACCGCCCCACGTCCCGGTTCTTCACGATGGAAAAGACCCGAGCGGCGGCGACGCGGAGCCTCCACGGATCCTCCAGGCCGAGCGGCCGAGGGTCCACGTCCGGCCAAACGGACGCGTCCACGGCGGAGGTCATCCTGCTCTCATACACACAATACACACACACACACACACACACACAGTAAGGTATTCCACTGTGACTGTCGCTCACGTGACTATAACTTTGTTTTAGCTGCACAGTAAACAAGCCTTAACCGACCTTGCTGTACTTCCATCATCTAGTGAGCCCAGACGTACTCGGTGATCCACAGGAAGTTGCGTGTTGCCGGCGGGCCGCAGCTCCATCAGGAGCTCGTCTAGTGGCGCTCCGCCGCGTCAGGTTTGTGCCGGAGGACCCGGATGAGCCGTCTCACAGCCCCCCCCGCAGAGACGGACATGTACCGGCGTGTCGCGGGCGGCTGCGAACGGTTGCGCGCGCTCTTATTGTCTACGGCGGTTCGCTACAAATTACATCCGGGTCACGCTCTCCGGTGGCCAAAATAAAGTTACGGACGGAGCTTCCCCTGTAAGAAACATTGGCGCATACGACGTATAGTCTTTTATTGTGAAATCTGGGAACCCGGAACTAGTCAAACGGAGCTTAAACGTCTCTTTTCCGGTCGTCACCTTCAGTTCCGAGTATGTGGTCTTTTTTTTTCTGTTACCGCGGAACCATTCAGCGTTTTTTAAACGTGCAGCTAAGGTTACAATGCTTAGTTAGAGGCATCTGGACTTTGTGTGTGTGGGTGCGTAGCTCAACTACGCTAACGTGCTAACAAGTTAGCTTTGTGGCTGGCTACAGCTATTGAATGGATGGAGTTGTTTAGGCTCACCAGCGTACCCCGTCGGCGGTGTTAGCTGAGCAATAGAATCAATTAATCCAGTCTAAAACTAACTGCGCAAATATTTGTATGAACCAATAAAAGTAAAGTATATGATAAAATGACAAAACGTACTTATTGCCCTGAAAGCGTACTCGGTCAGAATAATTTGAATGATGTCATAGACCATGTGACGTAACAACTCCACGCACATTGGCTTTAAATTCTTGAATAATTCTAGTAATACACAGCACATAAGCGATGTAGGTCACTCTGACCTCCACCGTGGAGGATCATGGCCTATTTGTGTGTAACGGATCCTTCAGTGGCCACTGAAAGGGAAATCAGGTGTTTTGTTTGTTTGTCCACAGACGTGCTCCAATGGTGGTGGGGGGTCTTGTGACACTTTGAACCAAACAACCTCCCTATTCCTGCCTCCTCGACCCCCCCCCCACGTGTAACCAGCCCGCAGCGCCGCCATGAACCAAACGTCCTGTGCGTTCCTGCTCCAGCTCTCCAGGGGGGGGCTGACAGCGGCGGGCCGCCGCGGCCGCTCGTACTCCAGCAGCATCAAGGTGCGCCCCTATCTGCAGTACATAAAACGCAAGGTCCTGTCCCATCCCAGCCCCCCGTACAGCCACGTGTGCCAGGTGGGCGACCCGGTGCTGCGTGCGCACGCGGCTCCCGTGGACCCCGCCGCCATCCCCGGCCCGGAGGTCCAAAAGGTCATCGCCACTATGGTGAAAGTGATGCGGAAGCTGCGGTGCGTGGGACTCAGCGCGCCTCAGGTCGGGGTGCCTCTCCGCATCCTGAGCCTGGAATACCCCGAGAGGATGGTGAGGGACAGCCCGCCCCCCTCCAGGGAGCTGCTCGGCCTCTCCGTGCAGCCGCTCAGGATCTTCGTCAACCCCCACATGACCGTCCTCGACAGCCGCACGGCGCTCTTCCAGGAAGCCTGCGAGAGCATCTCGGGCTACTCGGCCGCGGTGCCCCGCTTCCTGTCGGTGGGAGTGTCGGGTGTGTTTGCGGCTCAATCCAACGACATCTCACCTAAGATCTGTTTTAGCAGGTTTAAGATCAGTTTAGTAAAGTAATCCCCGTCTCTAAAACTGTTAAACTCATAGAATACCCCCCCCCCCTCCCCCAGGTCTGAACGAGAAGGGGGAAGCCGTCACGTGGCGCGCCAGCGGCTGGCCGGCCCGGATCCTCCAGCACGAGATGGACCACCTGGACGGCGTCCTCTACGTGGACCGCATGGACAGCAAGACGTTCATCAACATCGGCTGGCAGGAACACAATGAGTAGCGGACCTTTCGGGGGGGACAAACGCGGCGGGACGCAGGAAGGGACGCGCCTGTGTGGAAGTCCTTCACGACAGCGCAGCTGATAGTGAATCCTGATTGTCCCCCCACGACCCTGGACGGGTCCAGGACACGGAGGACTCGCCTCAGGACAAACGCGACGGATTCTACGTCCGTCGCTTTATCTGTCTGAGGCGTTGAGATTGTGTGCGACGTGACGAGTGATACAGGCGAATAAAAAGGAGGCTGACAGGTCCAGTAGGGATCCTCTGACCTTATTGCATTGCAATCTGCACTCATTGTTACACGTCCAGAACCAATATTTGGTTATTAAATTGTTTTTTTGCAGCGCAAAGAAATAACAGCATCAAATCTTTGGGAATGGAAAGAGTTTTTCATGCAATAACTACAAGAAATATCACAAAATGCACATGTTTATTTCATCATTTTTATTTAAATACCTAGTTTGACTTTGACCCATTTTAAATAACCTGTCCAAAAGGGAATTACAGTTGCGGTCAAAAGTTTACATACGCTTGTAAAGAACATAATGTCATGGTTCTCTTGGGTTGGAACACATACGGCTTTATCACAAAAAAGCATTCAAGTTTGTTTCTTTTATCACTTTTAACAAAATCTGCTGGGTCAAAAATATACAAAAATATACATAGAGCAGTGCTGATACTTGGTTACGCGTCACGTGGCCATTTCCACTTCAATTAGGCGCTTTTGGGAGCCGTCCTCAGGCTTCTCGTTGAATCTTTGACCGCTCCGCTTGACAGAATTGGTGCAGTTCAGTTAAATGTGATGGCTTTCTGACATGGACTTGTTTCTTCAGCGTTGTCCACATGGTTTAGCCGTTCTATCACCACTTTTGATGTGTGTTTGGGGTCATTGTCCTGTTGGAGCACCCAACTGCGCCCAAGACCCGACCTTCAGGCTGATGATTTTTCCCCGGGGTACGTTTTGGGGCTCCTGGAGAAGCCGTGAGGAGCCAAACAGCTGGATTTCTGTTTCGTCTGACCACAGAACTTTCCTCCAGAAGGTCTCATCTTTGTCCACGTGATCAGCAGCAAACCGTCGAGCCTTAAGGTGCCGCTTTTGGAGCAAGAGCTTCCTTCTTGCACGTCAGCCTCTCCGTCCATGGGGATGCAAAACACGCTTGACTGTGGACACGGACGCCGGTGTTCCAGCAGCTTCTCATTCTTGGCAGATGTGATTTTTGGTGGTTCTCGGTGGACTCTTCGCCCTCCTGACCAATGTTCTCTCAGCAGCAGGTGATAGCGTGTGTTTTCTTCCTGATGGTGACCAAACAGTGCCGTGCAAACTACTGTTTTCACTGTTGCTCTTGTCTATTAAATTAGACAATAAAGTTGAATCTAATCTAATCTGCTCTTGGGACCTGCAGCTGTTTTGAAATGGCTCCAAGTCACTTTCCAGACTTGTTCAAGTCAATGATTCGCTCTTTCAGATCCACGCTGGGCTCCTTTGACTTTCCCATTGTAGCGTTTGTATCCAATGAGCTTCATTTAAATGGCCTCAGAGAAGCTGTAGTCACTCATAATCACTCACAAGACGGTAAGAGGCCATAAGGCTCATTTCATTGACACAACTTTCTCACCAATATTGCTAATTCATGTTGCTGTATGTATATTTTTGACCCAGCAGATTTGATCACTTTTTCTGTTAACGCATAATAAAGTCAAACAAGAACCAAACTTCATGAATGTTTTTTGCGACAAAGAAGTATGTGTTCCAAACAAAAATCAGACTTGTAGAAATAACTGGAAACCCAAGAGAGCCACAACACTGCGTTCTTTACCACAACTGTGTCATCGTGTTGGTATCAGCTGGGGAGGTTCTGTCGCAGGACGCGGGTCAGCTCGTGTTAGTGTTTGTCGCGTGAAGATGACGTCCCAGGCCCGTGGCTATTTCACACGCTTCGGTTAAAGTCAGTCCCGAGTTGAAGAAATCAGACCTGTCGTTATTAGGCATAAAAATAACAATGTAGAAAAAAACACGGTGCCATATTACGAAATGTCCTCCAACCCAATATTGATTACACGCATTCAACATTTTAAAAGTTGGTTTTCAAGCTGAAATCAAACGCCGCTGTTTAAGAAATCGCTATTTTCCCACCGACAGTGAAGGCCACTCTGTCCAATCGTTGGGCACCAAAAATCATTTTAAACCTAAAAAGCGCCATTTTCCCCCCTTCGAGTAGCCCGCTGCGACTTTACTATCGTCAAGAAACGTTTTTTCATGGACAACATGGACGAATTATTGAATACAGGGCTCACTATGAATGCCTCTAAGTTCAAAAGCTCACTGGAACGAATCATAGACAAGGTGCGTTGGTGAGGCTAGCGGGCTAGCGGTGGATGCGGCAGCGTAGTAGCACAGCTAACGTTAGCTTAGGCTAACGTCAGCGATGGCTGCTTAACGTTTCCTCTGTTTGTTTTCAACAGTATTCAAAGCTTCACTCCCAAGATGGGGCTCTGGAAGTCGACCTGGACCACACCAATTGCCGCAGTAAATTTACTTTATTTAAATTAAATTAAATTAATTCAAGAGCACAGTAAAAGGCGACGTCATAGTGACGTCATGCTCTTTAGGATGTGTTGTGGTAACCGTAACGTTGATATATATTATAAATATACATATTCATAATGTATGTCCATATATTAAAAAAGCGTTTTCACTTCAAATGTGTCTTCTAAACGATCCATCAACACATTTGACTGTTTAAACACTAATTCAATGATATAATTCATTTTATTTTTGTCTTCACTCGGTTAAACGGACCAGTCGGTCATTTGTCTCCCGCTTTGTAGTTGTCTCATGACCTCATTGTGTGTCTTTTTCTGTCCTCGCTCTTTGCATGATGAAGCGTTACAACAATACATCCAGCGGTCTAAAGCAGAGATCACCCAGCTGGAGTCAAAGGTCTGTACATGAGTCACTGTGGGAGAATCCTGCTGGGTCGACATCGACTGATTTCAACAACCCGAAGATAACGTTCATTCATGTCAAACGAATAATACGTGTTTTACTCAAGATGTTTGTATTCCTCAGCTTTCAGAGACTTAACAGATAGCAGTCAAGTTCAGAAAATAGAGATGCTGCACGACTGTTGGATAAATTAAAACGATCACCGACTCGTACATTTGTGAATCGATTCAGAATCGTAGATGAATTTCAGATCTCATATTTATTCCTTAAGACTTCGATGTGTTTTATCGTCTTTGAGTCCTCGTTAAGTTTAGATATTAAACATGTGTGCAGTGATTTACAATCCAATACTTGTCGTTTCCTCAGAGCCTGACAGACTTAAGCGAGGAATCGATGACGGGCACGTATCCAAGACCGAACACAACAGCAGCAACTCACCATGTTTGTGTTTATTCATTATTAATCTGAATTCTTTGACATTTCGTCCTCCCCAGTCCAGGACATTTCAACAGGCTCTCCGCTAAATGCACTCAATTAATCCAAACACTTCAGTATCCAGTGATTCCGATTTATTCATTGTGGTTCATTGTGAACAGTTGGACGTCTTGCATGAAGATGGCGGCGCTGACGAGACTCGGTTGCCTCTGGAGGACAACGTGAGAGCAGGAAAGCAACAGACGTTTAAAGCACAACATGGCAGAGCAGAGCTATCGCATTTAAAAGAGAAACCGCGCGATGTCGGAAGTATGGAAAGCCAAACGTGTTTCTAGCCGCTGTTCTTGGTTTGGTGGACGTTGATTTATTAGAGCTGCAGTATCTGGACTTCAAAAGCATTTATTTACATCCAGCTATTTATACCCACATGTCAAATATGATCTTATAACCGAAGAAACTCATAGGTGACCATGTTCTCCTTCCTTCAGGTTGGTCTCCCAGCGACTTGACTGGTCTGACCACGAGCTCGCTGGAGGAGAACCAGAGGAGCGTTTCTGAGACGGATGTTCAGCCCGAGGACGGAGACCAGGAGCTGGAAATGAGCCTGAGGAGTCACGGCGGCTCTCTGGTGGAGCTCTACCCCGGCATGATCAGCCGAATAGGAAAGGCGTGGCGGCGAAAGCACGTCTTCGAGGCCGCCGACACGGTGCTGAGGCGCTACGGCAGGTGGAGGCGGCACGCGGGCAGAAGCAGTCTCGGCAGCACCTTCATCGTCCCGATGAGACACAACGGCCGGAATCCAGAACGCGAAGCAAGCCGCACGCCGTCAGGGGAGAGCCGAGGGCAGTGTGTGGGGACAGAGACCACCCGCCGGCCCCCCGTGAGGACGGTAAACGCGTCTCCTCGGGGGACGCGACAGGAGCACCACCAGCCGGTCCTCGTCATGGACTTTTCTGGACCTTCTGAGGCCTTCGAGCCACCAGAGAGCTCGCTGAACGAGACCTTCACGGTGTCCCAAGCTTTCGGGCCAGGGGAGCCGCCCTCTTTAGGGACAGGGGAACCGCCCACTTTCCGGCTGGGGGAACCGCCCTCTTTCCGGCTGGGCGAGCCGCCGTCTTTAGGGCCAGGAGAACCGCCCACTTTCCGTCTGGGAGAACCGCCCACTTTCCGGCTGGGGGAACCTCCCTCTTTCCGGCTGGGGGAACCGCCCTCGGCGTGCACGTTCAGTCCCTCGCGGTCCTGCCGTCCCGCTGCCAAGGCTCCCACAGACACGCCTTCCAGGTCCAGGAGGCCGTCGCTCAACGCGCCCTCGCTGCAGGCGGACGTCTGCTCCGCGTACGCAAGCGAAACCGCCGAGGAAAGCTCAGACTTCTACGGCTCTCCGGTCCGGCGGGGTCCTGCGTGGGCGGGGCCCGGCCTCGGCAGGTCTCCTCGCGGCTTCTCCAGGAGCCCCAAAACGTACCCCGGGGAAAGCCTTCCCAGAGCCTCTCCGGGGAGATCGATCTCCACCCCTCCGCGGAAGACGCTCCGCCCTCGAGACGTGCATCCCTGGCTCCACCCACAGGCAGCGCCGGCGGCAGGCCGCCTTTCCTTTGACTCCTCCCTGCGGTCCGTCCGCGTCTCCTACTCGCCGAAGAAGCTCGACGAGGACTTCCTGAAGCTCTACCACAAGTTCGTGTGCCAGAGCCGGTCGGCGTCCTTCAGCGGGCTCCCCTGCCGCTTCTGTGCCAGAAGCTCCGAGGCCGGCCGGGCTCCTCCTCCCTCGTCCTCGGCCCTGGCGGCTCTCGCCCTGTCGCCCCACCGCTCCCTCCTGAGGAAACGCCACAGGGAGCTGGACCGGGACGCACACCCCCTGTCCAAGCGCTACCGGGACGAGCACTGCCCGTCCTCCCCGGGCTCCAAGCGCCACGGCAGAGAGGTGCTGAGGCGCCGTCTGCTTCAACCTCAATACGCCGCCGGGCCACAAGGCGCGTTTTCACGGACTGAGCGGGTGGCGGCGGTCAGCGGGCGCACATCAGGAGGCCTGAATGAGTCGGAGCGGATCCGCCTGCCGTCGTAAGCTCCTGATGTCACCTTGAGTTCTTTGAATTTAAACAGAAAAGTACCTAAAACACCAGAGGAGAGAAGGAAAAGCTAACGAATGTCAGTGAGAAGCTTCTTCGTGGTCGATGTTCACTTTCTCAGTAGATTTCTTATCTGTTGCTTGTAATAAAAATGTCTGGAAAATAAAGCGCTTGTTTTCATTTCATCAGTTACACTTTTACGTTATTCTCATGCACATTAAGGCCGAGAAAGCAAAAGCAACCAAGAGGCCAAAAAGAACTTGGATGAGGAAAATAAACTTTGGTCTGCAGCCTCGTGCGCTTTTCTGACACTAAATCCATGAGGTTTAAATGTGAAACGTGGGGGTCGTGTAGGAATCGTGTGACGTGATCGATCGTCGTGTTTTAAGGGCTACAAGCAACGAGCTTCTGTTCTTTAGTGACGCCGTGGATTCTTCTAGATGTTGATTCACAAACCACCACAAAGAGACTCAAATTAACCATGAGTGAACTAAAGGGGGGGGGGGGGGGTCATAATATACGTCTCCTCTCTAAATGTCGGTTGTAAACTAAACCGAACAATGTGATTTGCCATTGTCTAAATAAGTCTGGGGGACGTCTCCTCGGTGCGACCACAGAACCTCGCCACTGTCCCGGAACGAGGAGACAACTTGAGAACAATCCCTCAAAACGGAACAAAAGCATTTCAAACTTTTTACTTACATTACGTCACATGTCATTTAGCAGACGCTTTTATCCAAAGCGACTTCAGTGCATCAAACCACAAGGACACAAACTCAGAAGAACAAGAAAGTGCGATTTCCTCAAATAAGCCGATGTACAACTCGCTGTAGATAAGAACCATTATAAGTCCAATGTAAGTGCTACAGTTAGTGTGTTAGTGGAGGTAGAGTCTGAAGAGGTGTGTCTTTAGTCTGAAGATGTGAAGGCTCTCCGTGGTCCTGATGTCTTCAGAAACCTCCTTCCACCATTTAGGAGCAGGACAGCAAAGAGTGGAGATGCTTTTGGCAGCAGAGATAGAAGCAGAAAAAGAGGAGAGAAAAGATTGAAAGATGACCAGTCCGTCGGGTCATCAGAGGACAGAGTCTAGAGAGGAGGACAGAGTGAGAAGGAGTCAGTAGAAGGGAGAGCTCATAGAACAGAGGAGGCCAGAGAGGAGGCAGAGAGGGAGCGAACAGGTACAGAGTCAGTTAGTTGTAGAGAGTAAGAGATGAAGAAGTGGTCAGACACGTGAAGTTACAGAGAGGTTGGTGGTGGAGCAGTTTCTAGATGTAGTCAAGGTGATTGTCGGCTTTGTGAGGAGGAGGAGAGGGACTGAGTGACAGAGCGAAGGAAGAAAGTAGGTGTAAGAGGTCAGATGACTTCTATCTGGATGCTGAAGTCACCCAGGAGGACGAGCGGACGATCGTTTTCAGGGAAAGTTGGACAGGAGAATGTCCAGTTCTTCCAAGAAATGACCCAAGGAGCCTGGTGGACGGTAAAGGACAACGATAGTTAATTGTACCGAGTGAGTAACTGAGTAAAGACAGTGGGGTGGACGGTGGTGGTAAAGAGAAAAGCTCCATTTGGGTGAAATGAGTAGACCGGTGCCACCACCCCTACCAGTGGGCCTGGGAGTGAATAGCGGAAGAAGGCGCCGCATTCAGCTGCCCAAAAGACTCCCACGAAAGACTCCCTAGTCTTTGTCCTGCTCGTCTTGACTCCCACGGAAGACTCCCTGGTCTTTGTCCTGCTCGTCTTGACTCCCTAGTCTTTGTCCTGCTCGTCTTGACGTCTTGACTCCCTAGTCTTTGTCCTGCTTGTCTTGACTCCCATAGAAGACTCCCTGGTCTTTGTCCTGCTCGTCTTGACTCCCTAAGCTTTGTCCTGCTTGTCTTGACTCCCATAGAAGACTCCCTGGTCTTTGTCCTGCTCGTCTTGACTCCCTAGTCTTTGTCCTGCTCGTCTTGACTCCCATAGAAGACTCCCTAGTCTTTGTCCTGCTCGTCTTGACTCCCTAGTCTTTGTCCTGCTTGTCTTGACTCCCATAGAAGACTCCCTGGTCTTTGCTCCGCTGGCTTCGCGAACACTGAAGCGAACGCTTCCCTCGACCTCCGGGTAAACACTCCCTCGTCGGTGGAAGTCGGCTACGGTCGCGCTGACCAGTCCCCCGTTGTTTAGGAGACAAAAGGTCGATTGGCGTCGGCAGAAACTCCTCAAAATGAAAAACACCAACCGGTTGACACCTTAATCAGTGAACAATCACCATGTGGTGTTTTGACAAACTGGGAGTTTAAGGGTTCACGTCTCTTTTGCTTCAGAAGAGACGGCAGAACAGAGTCAGATCAGGTCAGATCTTGCAGAGTTAGGAGGGCAGTTAACTTAAGAGTCTAGAACACCAACTGGCACCAAACTGAAAGAGCTTAAGCAAAAACAAAGAACTGGCAGTAAAACGGCAAGAACTAAAGAAAATCAGCAATCAAGGGTTCAGACGACCCCCCAGCTTTCTGAGTGATGACCTTTTCTGTTAACAGATAAAGTCATAAAAGAACCAAACTCCATGAATGTTTTTTGTGACAAAGAAGGATCTGTTCCAATCGCTCTATCAGAGAAAGATCAGAGTTGTAGAAATAACTCGACATGATGCTCTTCACAAACGAACGTAACCCTTTGACCACCGCGGTCTCATCACGTTGGCATCGGCCAAGGAGGTTTCACGCAGAGCCGAATTAATGGTTCAACCCGATTTACCTGTAGCGTTCGGTACTGAATGACTTTGCCCTTCGGATCGGATCCTAGAAACGCCGACTCCAGTAGAACTTATGTCCAAAACGCTGCACATCTTTAATAAACAGGTTAAGATGTAACGAAGGCTGATGAATACATTTTATTACAGAAAAGTTGGCAATAATGGATTTTTTCATTTTCAAAAAACAACGAACATTTAAGTAACTGTGCAAAACAGAGAATCATTTGTGTGAGTAATTAATGACGGGGAGGTTTCCCGGCGTTTCCTTGGTTACGCTCGCCCCTTTTCATCTGGGCGGGTCTCCCGTTTAACAATCAGAGCTTGACAAGCGTTCCTCGTGGTTTATTAATATACATTTAAGGTTTTCTCTCTCAGAGTTGTACATTCTTTGACAGTGGCGTGACCCTCGGAAACCATTATTTACTTCATACAGATGAAAACAGACGTTCTTGTGCTTCACGCTAAGACACATATAAAAGAAAAGGAACCCAGGAGCACAAACGGTAACAATACACAATGTTTAAAATACTGATAACAGTAAATATGGCCGATAAGTAGAAGAAGTGAAGGGCGAGAGTGAAATAGAAAAGAGCGCAACTCACAACATTCCACCATTCATTGCACTCGATTTTAGAAAACACCGGAACTGTCGTTTCCAGCCGAGCACATTCTAAGGCACTGCGACTCCGCTCGCCGGACGAGTCACACGGGGGACGACTGGTCAAACGTTTGGCCGCAGGAGCACGTGACGGGACGCCGGTACCAGCAGTTGCTGCAGTACTCGTTGCCGCAGTAGCGGCACAGGACCAGCGGCTTGCGGGCGCACGCCGTCCCGCAGCGGCACACCCCCAGCGGCTTGATGTTGTGGTGCGTCTGGCAGAAGTCGACGTCCCGGCACGAACCGGCGTGGAAGACGCCGCAGCTGAGGCACAGGGCCAGCGGGTCCGGCTGGCCGCGGTCGCAGCACTCGTGGTAGGCGAACGGGTGACGGGGGGTCATCATGGCCTCGGGGTCGCTGCACAGGGCCAAGGAGGACATCGCCACGCCCTCCGGCGGCGGCGACGGGCTCAGCCCGAGGCCCCCGCCCTGCAGCGACAGCGGCTGGAACTCGCTCACCTTCTCGGTCGGGCCGTCGGGGAACGCCGTGTCCGGCTCCTCCGCGTAGCGAGGCTGGAAGGAGGCGCCGGCGGTCCCGCGGTGGTCGCGCGCGTCGACCAGCTCCAGACAGGGGAGAGCTGTCGAGAGCGTCGGCGTCGCCTCCTTCTGAGAGCCGTGCTCGACTGCAGCTGCGGCCTAGATCCGCTTGTCGACTGGATCTCGGCGGGGGCTGGCTGCTGGGGCCGCGCACGCGGGTTCTGTGGTCCGCCCGGCTCAGCCGGCAGTCCAGCTTAGAGACGCAGTCTCTCGTAGGACGGGGAGGACAGACCTCATCGATCTCTGTGGGCTTTAGGGGCCGACGCCCGCCTTGGCCCCCGGATCAAAAGAGGCGGTGGTCCTCGTCGGGGAGAAAGAGCCGCCTCCCGCTGACCCCCTTTGACGTGCTGGTCCGTGTACAGATCCACCTCCGCTTCTCCGTCATAAGGCTGCATCAGCTGGTCGGAAGCCAGGCTCTTCTTGGCGTTGTCCATGGCGGCCTGTTGAGGCGAGCGGACAACGGATTTAAACTCTAAATCACGACGGAAAGGGATTTAATTTGCGCTCACTTTACTTTTACGTAGGAGAGGTTCGCAATCTGCACACGTGAGCCGGGGGCGAACGGGCGGCGCTTATCGAAGCGGCCGGACGTACCTGCGGGCCGTGTCCTCTCTGCCGCTCCCTCACCACGCTCAGCTCCCACTGGGCGTCGCCCTCGCGCTTCCCCAGCGCCGCCCGCAGGAGGCGGCACTCGCGGCGGGCCAGGAAGAAGGCACACGACAAGCAGAGGAGGTCGCTCGGAGAGGCGGCGCCGCCGCCGCCGCCCGCGGGCGCCTGGAGGCGAAGCTGCTCGCTCCGGGACGAGCTGGCCTGGTAGCCCAGCAGGCCGAACAGTTTCTCGACCTGCGGCATCGACAGCACCGGCTTGATGAAGTGGGTGAACATACCGGAGTACATCTGGGACACACGGGACAAGGAAGGAGGGTTTTGTTCTGGTCTGAACCAATCGGGTATTAACAAATTTAAAAAAAACTGCTGATTTTCTTTCTCAGCCAACCTTCACTACTTTGTACTCGTCCCTCCAGGGGCCGAGGTACAGGTTCAGGGCCGCCTGCTCCAGGACCTCAAAAGCTTTCTCCAGGCCTTGCAGCCCTCCTCCGGTTCGGACTCGCCCGGCACCAGCTGCCCCGCCCGCCGCCGCCGCCGCCGCTGCAAGCGACTCCGCCATCACCCTCAGCGGATCCAGGCCCAGGCAGTGGGCCTCCTGGGCGTCGGCGTCCCTCAGCAGGCCCTCCGCCTGCGTCCACACCTCCTCGTCTCGACACGCCAGGTTGGAGCCTCGTCCCACAATTTGCTGCTCCAAACTGCGACTGTAGGCCGCCACCAGGTCGCCGGCTCTCTGCCTGCAGACGCTCATCTTGCGTTCAGCTGAGGGGGGAAACGGATGTGAATAATGAAACCGTCTCTGCAGGACTCGTATTTACACAAACAGGGATGATGGTCAGCCTGTAATTATTTAAATACACTTCTCTTTCTAAATAAATGTACATAAGTTCCATCGGTTAGTAAGTTTACCAACTATATAAAACAATCACAACAAATTTTGCCGTATCTTACAGTGTATTATTATGTCTTATGGGACGAAAATAACCGAGGGACACCGTAAAAGTAAATGATATTACACCCTTTGACACACAAGCAACGTTAGCTTAGCCTCCATTACTTTGGGAAACAGGATCCTTAAGTGAAAGTGAAAGTTGTGAAACTTTCTCTGCGTGAAGGAAGGAAACCGAAAAAAAAAAGGTCCAGTGACGCGTCAGTCGACGGCAGCGGGTTCGCTCGCGGTCGTTGATCGATACGCTGCCTCGGTCGGACGTTAGCATTAGCGTTAGCATCTAGCTTAACAGGTGCACGCCGATAGCTGCTCCGCGAGCTTCCCGTCGCGCGTTGGTCTCGCTTTAACGTCAAGACGCCTATTAAACAGATCCATATTCACGTTCGAAACACGGACCGACGAAAATTCTAATTTTAGAATTTTTCCAACGGAAAACCGACGCGTTTCATTTGACGGGAAAAGATCCAGGAAGTCGCATGAAATCAAGTCACAGAAAAAAATGGGAGTTTTTTGTTGTTGTTGTTGTTGTTGTTGTTTAGGGTAAAACCCGCGCGTTTAGGCGTTAGACGACATCGCCGGTGACAACGCATTGAACTGCCAGCATTGCGGACGAGATGCGAACCCCCGAACAGAAAGCGCCCGTGACGTCGTAGGCTGAAGCGCCCGTGACGTCGTAAGCTAACGTCCGCGCGCCGCTCCGGCCGGAAGTCCGCTCAAACCCTCGTCTAGTCGGCTCACCTGTCCGCCGCTTGCTCGGGCGACTAAAGCGTCTCCGCTGATAGCCGCTGTAAAGTAAACATTGTCACGTGGCCTGGACTTTCCCCGGCCGCACGCCGGTGCGCGTGCTACGAGCGCCGGCGCGGCCCGGCGGGGGAGTTTAGCTGCGAAGAGAACTTTCACCTCAAAACGGTGATCCACAATGTGTCGTAAACTAAATCATGGTTAATCCCACAGCAGCTACTGATGAGAAATGCGGAATGAAATCACAAATGTCGCCGCTTAAAGCTTTTATATCTCAACACGGTGTGATGCCGCACATTGTCCACTAGATGGCGGCGTTTTATCTACAGATCGCCCCGCTGGCCTTTACGTGGCCCTCGTCGTTTTTTTTTTTAGAGGCGCGGCCTCAGCGACACGAATACAAGGGCGGGGACTGTGGCCCCCCGAGCTCACTTTAGAGCATCCCGGGTGCTGTGCACAAGTCAGCAGCTTCACTTTCATCCCCCTACCTCCCTCCCCAAACAAACACAAACACACACACACAAGCGTCGTCTTCCATCCTGCAGCAGACCTGTGCACAAGAGCTGGGATGTCAAACTCAGACAGGGTGGTGTTGGCCCTCGGAGGAGCCGGCACGGTTGGCTCGGGGATCGTTAAGGCGCTGCTGGACAAAGGTAAGCCGGCTCCACTCGGAGACACCAATGGAAGCTCCTCCCTCGGTCGCTTTGTGTGGAAATATGGTCGAGATGCGCTTTGAAGAAGACTTGCGTTCGTATGTCGCCTCTGGAAGAATCCCGGTGAATCTGTCCAAACGCTTCTTACACACGATAACGTGCAGGTAATACTTCTCCTGAACATTTTAGTCCTTTATACGACGCGTTTCCAGGGTTTGAATTGTTAAATGACTGACTATTGATGTGCTGATGCAGACACAGTAATCGGTTATTTGCTGTGATGTGTTGATGAGCCGGCTGGTCTGTCGAACACTAACCGTTAAATAACGTTAAATGCATTGTTTTAAGTGTGCGTAGTGACTTTAGCTATATGTTTGTTTTAGTTTTTGTCTTGTTGGATTTTTCTACAAGTCCCAAACAATGACACAAATCCCAACTTTGATTTCAGACTGCGTGAACTTTTTCTGAATGTCATTTTTTAAAAGTACGATTAGAGTTAAAGCGGCCAGTTTGGATTCATGTAATGCGTCTTGTGTCGGAAGGGTTCAAGGTCGCAGTGATCTCCAGGGACAGCAGCCGTCTGGAGAGGCTCCAATCCTTCGTGTCCCCCGGCACAAAGGACAACCTCACCACCATGGTGGGGAACGTGGGTAAGTTGGGTCTGGCAGCTCTCCGTCCACCTCCAGCTTCTTTGTCATCTCCTCTATTTAAAAGCTCCTTTAATAGAGACAGACCTCCTCTAATGCTAATTGTAGACGGTGTGTCTCTGGGAGGCTTTACCTTTTCATCTGCCCGCGTTATGGCTGCAAGGGGCACCACGCCAATACGAACTTGATGGATCCAATTGTACAAATAAATGATGATTGACGGTGATGTGGCTATACGTGTCTCATGTCACGCTAGCGGCTCCATCAAGCATGCTAACATTCCCACGATGACAATTTACCTTGTGTTTAGTGAGTAGGACTTATTGGGGGTAATTGCCGCTTTTATCCAAAGCGACTTACATTACATTTTTAACCCATGGCTTTTTATATTTTTGCCCCGGGGGGGGCAATTGGGGGTTAGGTGTCTTGCTCAAGGACACTTCGACTTGAGGCAGCCAGGGCTCGAACCACCAACCTTGCACATATGATACGGTCCTCTGGAAAGCACAGGGTTGGTGGTTCAACTCCCAGATATGATGTTGCCTGAGTCGAATGGTCCCCGAGTAATGGCGCGTTTCCACCGAGCGGTATGGTTCGGTACGGGTCTGCTAACCATGGTTTGGCGAGCGTTTCCACCGCCAACAGTACCCTTACTTGATGGGCGTGGTGTATTCCAGAAAGTAGTGATGACGTCACTTGATAGGCGTGGTACATGACGGAAAGTAGATTGACGTCATTCAATCGCGCGAAAACTGAAAGCTAACCGCAAACCACAACGGAGGACGTGCAGCCGATCCTGATCCTGCTTCTCCACATGCGGCTGTTTGTCACAAGGAGACGACACTCTTTGTTTGAGCAAAGGCTACACGCTGCAAGGAAAAACACAGCGCAAATGACGACACTCTTTCAACCAATCAACGCTCTGCAGTGAGTCTAGCTCCGCCCTTTAGTACCAAACAACTGTGCCAGGTGCCCCAACGGAAGGGAACCCAAAAAGTGGTACCGTACGGTTCGGATTTTTGGTACCATTCTCAACTTTTGCCAGTGGAGACACACATAAAAGGGACCCGACCCGACCCGTACCGTACCGCTCGGTGGAAACGCGCCATAAGACACCTAACCTCCAAATGTCTCCTGTCTCCTTTAGCATAGGATAAGTTGGACCATTGCAGAAAGGGTTCACTTGGACCAAAACCTACTCAAGGAGGCTTGTCGCATAAACCGAAGGATATGTGACAAACTTCCTTCACCAAAGGAAAAGAGGGGCTTTGGGGGGGGGGTACGGTTCTCTATCATGGGACCTGGAAGGCGATCCTCTCCTCAAGTCTTGCTGTTCCAGGGTCAGAGGAAGGAGCAGAGCAGGCGAAGCAGGACCTGCTGAAGGCGGTGGGGAAGGTGACCGACATCGTGTCCTCCCTGGGCTTCAGCTGGTGGCAGGGCGGACCCCCCCACACTCAGTCCCTCAAGGACCTACACTGGGTGAGCACACACGCGCGCATAAACCCGACGCATGCGGGTTAGTGGACACGCAGTGGTCTTCACAGTTGTGGCATGTCCACATCGTGTCTTAAGGTGGTCTGTCCCTCTGTTGCTTGGAGGAAATTCTCACATTTTATCCCCCCCCCTCCCCCCTCGCTCTCTCCAGGTCATGGAGACATTACTTTTCAGCACGTTTGTGTCATGGAAGGCCTTCTTCCCCCTGGTGAGGGACGACCCCGGCTCCACCTACTCCTTCATAACAGGTGACTCTTTCACCCCCGCCCCTGACTAACGTATGGGATGTCAATCATTATAAAAGACTGATCCGTGCAGGTTGAACTGAATGAACTACAATATTAAAATCTTCCTAGAAACATAAATATTACATATTTCCACTATTTTCACGAATAAGAAACGTTCATATACAGTATGTATGTGTGGCCCGTGGTCACATTTAACCTTAAACCCAGCACATAGACCCCCCCCCCCTGCCAGCTGGGTTGACTGTGCTCTGTGCTCAGGGGGAGCCGGGGAGAAGTTGCTGATGCCCGGCACCGGCTTCCTCACCGTCGGCGCCGCCAGCACTCTGGCCTTCTGCCAGGTGCTACGAGACGAGTACCCCGAGCTGCCCTGCAAACTCAACCAGGTGAGACTGGGTCTCCTCAAGCCCCGCCCCCCCTCCTCAGGAGGACGCGACCGCCAAGATGAGACGCAGCTACAGCAAATTACTCCGCCGCCTGATACAGATACGGTGCATCGACATTGCAATGGTATTATAGGGGGCGCTATTGGTGCTAAAGTGGGTATAAAGAACGTTTCCATGCTTCAGTCAGACCTCTATGAAGATAAAATCGCCCTACACACCTGATAGGGAACGACTTGTAAATGTTCTTTCACACAAAAACCTGAAACCAAAAGGGAGAAATATAGAATTTGTTGTTTTTTGGTTTCAGGATTGCGCCACCTGGTGGTGATTTCATTTGTCCAAATAACGCTTTGTGCCTGCTAAAAAGAAAAGGAGCATTTCTGATATTTCTTTTATTACATGTCATTTAGCTTTTATCGTTTTATCCAAAGCGACTTACAATAAGTGCATCCAACCATGCATTCGAATGATAAAACTGTTGACAAAATACATTTAAAATGCATAAAAAGGGATGAATAACCGTGATTTCAGTTGAATTTCAGTTTAATATATTATTTTGGATCAGGTTTGATTTTTCTCTACATGACATGTCCATAGAAAATGATCCAGAAATGAGCCGCCCACATACCTTCATTATTTACCATGTTTATCGTTCATTCAGCTAGACTTTGTCATCCCACCGCTGATCTTTTTATAAACACCATTTATGTGGAATCTCCCCATCATGTCTCAAGCAGATTCTCGGTGTCACAATTCAAAAATTAGAGAAACATTTAAATTGCAATATGACACATAAGCGGGCGTTTAAGGAGCCGCGTGTGGCGTTTACCAGTATGATATTCAGAACTAGGAAATGTGCAAAATGTGTTAGTTTTCTCTGGCTTAGAACACATTGCAAAGGAATGAAGTTGTTTCTTCTGACCGAACCCGCCCCCTCCCCCAATCCCTTTACGGACAGGTGAAGATAAACGCCGGCGTGGCCCCTCCAGAGCGCTCGGCCCCCGGGTACCTGAGCAGCCTGGACCTGGGCGAGGCGGTGGCCTCCCTCGTGGAAAGACGGAGCACCTCCCACTCCGTCTTCACCGTCAGCTGCCCCGCCGACTCGAAGGCCGTCATCCTGGAGAGGAGCCTCTAGACCCGGGAGATGCCGCCGCGGCACCAACCCTTCGTCGTCCCGCTCAACTCCCCGGAAAACACTTTCGGAGTCTTTGGTTCATCCGTTTCCTTACGTTCTTCCAACAGCAAATGTTGGCTGTTTTAATGATTCCTCTACATTCTGCTACCCGTCCTCCCTCCGCCTCCTCTGCATGTGTAATAAGAAAAGAATTCAAACGATTCACCAAACCGTCTTGCTGCTTCACAAATGTATCTGTTAAATAAAGTAAGCTTGGTACAAAACTAGACCTCTTCAAGGAAATGATCACGTATGTGCGTATTGTCATGCATGTCAGTTACTCTCACCGTGATTTGATGAAATCACAGAACATTCTGGATGAAATGAAGTCAGTTCAAACCACCGAAAGGATAAAACAAAACATTTATATGTAAGAACATCTACAAGCTAAGAAAACTCATGCAGCGTAGAAGTCGAATGTAGTCAGGTGCCAACAGGTCACATGGTGCACCGAGCGGAGGTCGTGAGGCCCGACTTCAGATATTCACGTTTCACTGCCTGGTTTTGGTAAAACTCAGATTCCTTAATACGGCACCGAGGCGTCTCCGTCTCCGCTACGGATCCAATACAAACAAGAGATCCGTGCCACGTTGTTGCACCTGTATGAAATGTGGAGACGAGGTCAATCGTCCCCAACGGGGACAATGATTCAGAACAAGCGAGGACGACGTCTGCGGTTGGGCTTCGTCACTCACTGCTTTTGTTTTGAACTTGTCGGCTGACAGCTCAATGAGGCCAAACCCTAATGAGGCGGGGGGGGTCTGACGTCAAAATCTTAAGTTCTCCAGTATAGTTTAAGACCAAATACCTGCGATGTACTCGGTGGCAATTAGCAAACGTCACCTCCAAGAAGCTTCCGCGCAGCCGTTTGAGCGTTTGATGCGGCGGCGGCGGCGAGGAGGAGGAGGAGGAGCAGCAGGTCAGCGGTCCTCTGCTTTGGATGAACAAAACCTCAGCGGCTGCGACCAGAGGAAGTAAACGCGGGAAACTGGATGGAAAACCCGCTGGGACCGTGGCGGTGTGGCGCTCGGCCTCGTCGTGAGAGACCTCGCCAAAAAACCCGCACCGCCAGACGCCGTGGCGACTGGCAGGGTTTAGCTCGAGGGGGCGGGACAGGAGAGTGTGTGTGTGTGTGTGGTCCCTCGTGAGAGATCCCCTTTCCCTGACCGGCGGTCCGCTCATAGCACCGCCATGACTCACCGCTGCCTGCACGCTCGCTGCTTGGGAGATGATCGATGGAGGCTCACGCACTCTGGAGTCACGTTATCGCCACGGGGGGTAAAACACGGCCTGAACACGCCGAGGAAGCCCATCGATGGGGAATCTATAAAATATTACAAGACGCTAATTTAATGACTTAAATATTACCTCTTTATTTATTTCTCACATTCATTGTTCTCATTCGTACAGTCCCACCCTTTCACAATAAAACAGTTTAATAAACGCAGCAAAATGTACAATAAATCCTTTGCACGGCTTGATCATTATGCAAAATATACATTTTTAAATATTACATTCATATTTTTTGCAGCCTATTTTTAGTATTTAGGCAGTGAACCCATAAAAGTTTTAGGACATCTATTTACATCTTTTGGATCCATGCTAAATATTAAATTCAAACCAAAAGTACATAATGACAACGTATAAAAAAGGAAAACCTGCTTCATTTCATCCAAACAAACAGAAAAACATTTCTGAATATTTCATCCGTCCATTTAAGTACAACTGAGTCACTGGACATCATCTACTCGAGGACACTGATTAATTAATAATCAGTCACAAGTGAACTTGATCTGCAGGGAACAGGATAAAAAAATGTGATATTGTAACACCAGATTCCTTCAAGTAAACAGCCACCAGCATTAAATAAACAAAAAAAACAACAACAACTCCACAGGAGAGCTTCCAAAACGTGAAACGTCTGTAAAGAACGGACGTTTATAGCAGACACAAAGCTTGTGAACCATCTTACCCAACTAAGAGCACACGTGTTCCTCGCTAAGCGTGGACCCGTACGCATCCATAACACGCATGATGTTACAACAAACAGTGAGGTGACACTGCGTAGAGCCTCCACCCCCCCCAGTGTCTCACATCTTATAGTCGCTCTCTGGAGGCGAGTCCGTCTGCAGCCAGCGTCTCTGTGCAAACTGAAAGTGATCCTCCATTGGAGCCGTCAACACCCAAAGTGCAGGAATTCTGATTTTTGTATTTCGGTGGATTTTTTTGCCACCAGCTTTAAAACACACGCACGCACAGCTGGAGGTGCTTTCAAATTGATTAGAACACTGAGAAAAAAAAAAGAAGAGCGATAAGGGGCGTCAGCTCGTGTGGCTTCTTCCCGTCGGGGGAGAAGAGCAAGACGAGCGCTGAGGTTCCCGGGTCGGATCCCGGGAGCGACGTGCAACAGTGCAGTGCTACCCGGCTCCCAAAAAGGCCTCGCAGTGTGAGAAGAGCACAGCACCAGGAGGCCCTCTGGTCAGGTGACGCGCGCCCGCACAGCCTGCAGGGTTTGGGGGGGGGGAGTCGGGATGAGCCGCCTGCAACACAAAGCAGAGGTCCTCCCGTTACATTTCCATCACGCGCGGGTTTCACGGGACTCTGGGACGAGGGCTGAGCTGCTTCAGTCAGGCAGGAAGCGTTCTGCTTTCTGATCCAATGCCACGAAGAACTTAAAACCAAGCAGGAAGTGGTGCATTTGTAGGGGGGGCGCAAATTATTTAGTGAGATGCGACTGAATTCCACTAAACTGGATGGAATATTATGAAATAGAACGAATAGAACTGTTCAAACATGGATGAATATCAATTTAACCGTTTAGAATTCTGAAGCGATGCTCCAAACAACTGTGTATGACTTTGTGAAGTATGACTTTAACAGGATCGAGTTGTTTTCTCAGTCCAGTTTTACCATTTAGGAGTATTTACAAATGAACGAGCCAGTTTGGGTTAAACCGCGACCAGGAGCGCTACAGACCTCTGTTGGCTTCACAAACAATCGCCATATTTGATTGATTCCTTCTAGATTGGGAGGATGGACGAGCACTGTGGAGCATGCGTGCAACACGAGCACCAAGAGGACACGTGAACCTTCTGGTGGACACCATGAAAGCCTTTCTGAAATCAATGTTTAGCTTTTCTCTCCATCCTCCTTCTACGAGCTGCTTCCAGGAGAAGCCCAGTACTCTGCTGTCAGAGGCGTTGTACTGACCTGAGGTGCAGTCTGGACGTCTCCCTACCTTTTCTCAGAAGGGGTTGTCCGCAGGATGAGGAGCTCCTCCGGTGCACAACGACTCGATGTAGGCCAAGGCACTCTGCAGGGAGGTCAGACAGTAGCCTTCCTCTCCGATCAAATAGCTGAAAAACACGTGCCGATATTAGCCGAGGGGGGCGTCATCGGAGGAAACTGAGAGGCGAAGCGGACACAAACCACTTCACGTTGAAACAAAGCATTACGACACACAGTCCAAACATCAGCGGGGACGACGCAGCGAGAGAACGACGTCATCACGGACACGAAGGTCTGCGGCAGATACTGAAAACGACACGACAATCGCAAACACGCCACCGACCAGCTTTGTAACGGACGCGATCCTGATCTGATCCAATAAACCATCATTTGTTGGTAACGTTTCCTCCCCAACAAAGAAAACTCTCTCACCATCTCGTCCATTCACGTCGCTCATGGCGTCCACCTCAATGTGAACAGCAACTGTACCTTGTCCCAGTGGCCCCGTGGATCCGGCTGGATAAGAACGTGAACACCAGGCTTCTTCGTCATTGCTTAGTTGATGTACTGTTCAAAGGCTTGTTGCTACTTTGGTAACTTTGGGAGATGGAATCTCTGACAGCTGACTCGACGCATCACTTCAGAGACCCGACCGTCCGACTGGCTCCTCCAGCGGCCTTCACTCAAACACCACGTGGGACTCGATGTGTAAAACCCAAATGCCCCGACGTTCCTTCGCCACTGCCCGTCTGTCCGGACGGGCTTCAGGACGTAGGGTTCCTGTGGCGGTGAGTAGACCCGTCTGGTCTGCAGACCCTCAACGGAAGACCACCGGCCCCCCCCTCGCTGCATTTAGACCCCGCACCTCACCAAGAAGATAAACACAAACTTGTCACGCGCAAACTGTGTGGCATTAATATACTGGAGCGGAATGAAGGCCTTTTTAATTCTGAAGCACTGTTTCTGTTCCCATCGCACTTCTTTTCATCACTTTAACCATTACGTTGGTTCCCCGCGGTGCACGTGTGCCATTAAAGCCAGCAGAGAATAATATTGTGATAATATCTCGAGGTCCTTTGGGTGTCCCCCCCTCCCCCCACAGTCTCTGTACAGGACCATCCAGGAACGTCATTCCTTCAACATGTCATTGCACCACGTTTTCCCCTCCATGGCGAGGACTCACCCTTCGTGAATGAACTCCTCCAGAGCGGCGCATTCAGACACCAGCTGAGGACACTGGCACCGCAAAGCCACGAAAGACAGGATGGGCAGCAGGTCGTCGGCCCCGCTGGCAGACACAACGGAGTGCAAAAGTAAACAAGTCGTAAATAGTGCGATTGCCAAATGAAATGATGCTCTTAATGGGGTGCGTGTTCCTGATAAAGCTCCCCCTCGCCCTTCTCTCTCCCTCCCTCCCTGAGATCAGTTGGGAGGACGAATTGCGGCCCTGGAGATGACGACGGGCTGATAGCGTCCTCCCTCTCCCTCTGTGTGTGCAGACAGCGACCGCTTTGTTTATCAGGACTCACACGCAACGGATAACTGCTGGCTTGCGTGAGAAGGCGGCCTGCCGGCCCTCGACTGACCCCGGCCGCCTGCAACCGGATACTCGCCTGCTGCAGAGTTCTGGAAGGTGTGGACCAGTGTTCATTTTGGCAGCTATTTTTGATTTAGTCTTTGGACGAAAAATGCACATTAGTTTTAGTCACATTTACTCTACAACTTGTCTTAAACTGCATAATTGTCCAGCTTGCAGTACTTGGTTGTCCCTCCTATAGGACAGGCCTATAGATGTCCCTCCTATAGGACAGGCCTATAGATGTCCCTCCTATAGGACAGGCCTATAGATGTCCCTCCTATAGGACAGGCCTATAGATGTCCCTCCTAGGACAGGCCTATAGATGTCCCTCCTAGGACAGGCCTATAGATGTCCCTCCTAGGACAGGCCTATAGATGTCCCTCCTAGGACAGGCCTATAGATGTCCCTCCTAGGACAGGCCTATAGATGTCCCTCCTAGGACAGGCCTATAGCAGGTCAGCAAACGTTTTGACTCTTGAACAAATGGTTGAAGTGTTTGTGAGCTGATATAAATGACATGTGAATCATTACATGAAAGGATTTGGATTCTAACAAATAGCAAAGCATTTATTTGCAAGTCAATTTAACAAATTGGCAAAGGTGTAACAACTTGATGAGGACCAGGGACCTAAACGCAACACTTTGTTGTCTTTGTCTGTTTGCTTGCAATGCTTTTGACACTTCATGCTCCTTTATTGTTTCCACTGTCCCAACAAACGAGACCTTAATGTCCTACAATCGCTGCACTACATTATTTTCTTGGCTTCAGAACCTGCAATGAGTTTATTACGTTAGACGCGTTTGTGACGGAGCGTCTCATCCAGCGAGGAAACGCTGCCTGCCGTCGCCAGAGAACAGAGCAGAAAGGTCCGACGGTCTTTAAACGCGTCTTCGTGTTTCTGTGAAGCAGCGCGGCTTCAGCCCGCTAACAGGCAGCTAACAGGCAGCTAACCCGAGACAGCTGAGCTAAACTAACGAAGCCACGTTCAAACTCGCCGAAGCGTAAAACATTCGTCGCGGTCCGTAGTCGGTGCACAAGAACCACCGCTGCACCGCTATGATTTCCGTCATAGTTTTCGTCGACGAAATTAACACTGGTGCGGCCACACTCGTGTAACCGCAGGGAGATGGACCGCACACTCTCACGCACACAACTGCAACCTTGTGAGTTCACCACCACCAAGTGTAACGTGCTCTCGTCCCTGATCTCAGAGGGAAGATTGGGCTCCATTGTGAGTTTGCAAAAGCATTCCAATTCAGTGGATGCCAAAAAGCAGCAGAGACGCAGGGGGGGGGGGGCCGGGGGCTTCTTAATTAACAATACGCCGCGGAAAGTGGTGACCAGTTTAGCTGCACAATGGCAGAGAGAAAAGAAAAGGACCTGGACAAAAGCTCCGGAGAGAACAAACAAGCTCCGGCTGGTTGGAGACAATGAGCAGAAGAAAATAGGAACGCCGGTGAATGAAGAGTAAAGGAGGGCAGCGGGTTCACTATGTGGACTACAGGGAAATATGCATCGTTAACACGAGACACAATAATCCCTGCTGGCATCTGCAGGCCGGGAACACGGCAGAACATTTGATCCCGAGTCCGGTCGGGATCAAAACACACGTTGTGCGTCATAGAAAGCAAACGTGTGTTCAGATGGATGACAAAAAAACAGCTCGGCTGGCAGCGAGCGGCAATAAAGGGGAAGGGAAGTACACCTTCTACATTTGCCCTTAAGTGGCCATCGGCTACATCGCGTGTCGGGGAATGAGCTTCTAGTGTCACGAGTTTCTAACGGAAAAGAAACCGGCTGATGAAAATACCGGCAGCCGGTGAGACGTCGGACGCGAACGACCTTCCCCGAGTCCACAATGAAAAACAGAACAAATGAACCTCGCGTGTTTCGGCCCCGTTTGACTCAAAAACAAACGATCCGGTTCTCATTCCGTGACACTGCGCGTTGTGGCCAATTCGTATGTATAATTTTCCAGGTCCACACTACAAACAAGAACCCGTCAACGTCACGACGTCTCGCTTTACTTTGCTCCTCCGAGCTTTGGAGGAGAGCAGCGCCCCGGTCAACTCGTCTGCTCTGCCGTCGCCGATCACGTGTCCCGAACGCGAGGAGACAGATATGGAGCAGGAGACGGAACGAGAGCGAACGGAGGAAGGGGAAGCTATCAGATAACGCTAGTGAGGAGGACCGAGATTTGTTAAGCGATACTCTGCTGTTCAGACACACACACACACACACGAGAAAACCCTCGGGTGATGTTGGTGACATAATCTACAGCCCTATTAAGACACTAACACTAACTTTTAAAAGCGTCTCCAGGTCGACAACCCGGCTGTGCGCTTTTGGTTGCAAAGACGTGGTTAGCAATTTGTCTTGCTTTAGCATAAGACACTAACGGTCTTAATAATGAGGGGTGGGGGGGGTACAAGGGTTCAAGGCATCCAAGGGAGGGAGCCGGCGCGGTGAAGGAAGGATTCAGTATTTACACGATTGTACAAAAAGTTTCTGCTTAGATCAGGAACAGCTGGTCTTTGAAAGCTTCAAAGTAACCATTTGCAGCAAATTTATATTACGTGCAGGATAATTCAAGGGCGGCACAGCGGCCCCCGTGGGATGAGGAGCCCCGGATGATGTGAAGACACCACAAGACGACGCACATTAAAACGCACAGAGGAAAATACTTTGTCCTGCCGATTTAAACACGGAGTACACGACACACCGCGCGTGCAGCACAATGAGTGCTGCAGCCTACTGAGCCTTTGTGCGACTCTGACTCCAACTCATCTTCCCACAGCCCCCCCGTGGGGCCCTGGGTCTGTTCCAAGCCCAGACAGGACGACCCACTTTAGGCCTGGAAGAGGAACTCTATGGGGGGGGGTGCCGGCCTTAACCGGGCACTGATGAGACCCGACAGGCAGCTAACGAGGCCTGAAGTGATGTTTGCATACTTCCAGGGGCCGTCAAAAGGATAAAACAACCCGACAGTCCTTCACCGTTCGCACTGATGCATTGTGTCACTTTAAAATGTCCGTTTTTTTATTTCCCCACCAAGAATTGCCCAGTGAGTGATTTCATATTTGCTGCAGTGGTGCCAAATACTGAAACCCCAGAGAGGTGATTTACTCACATGGCGGCTATTTTTTGGGGCGAGTCCACCTCGTGTAGGCACCTGTAATCCTCCGCGCAGGCACAGATCAGCCGCAATGTCCGAACTGTAACAGAGCATCAGCAGAAAGGAAGAAATATCAAACCTCCAAACAGCTCAGATATCTACAAAGTGGATACGAAGCTCGCATCGCCACTGCTAGGCCTAAAAATCAGCCGGAAGTTTAAAATGCAGTCAAACTAGATACAGTCAACACAAGGTGCATTGAAGTCAATTCTTAGAAGTAATAATAAATATAATGCTTCGTTGGATGACAGCAGACTGATCTCACATGACTCCTACAACACGTATGGAACAACAAAATATTAGTTTACACCACAGTAAGAAAGATGGTGATTGAGGCAATTTCTCTGAGATTACTTGCAGTACCTGTTAAACACATTTTCTATGTCCAAACTCCTGACAGGTACTGTGCAGTAATCTGCTCTTGACGGAGCCCAATGATCTTCGTATCTACTGTAGCGAGCAGTAGCAACAGGTCCAAAACCATCACCAAGCAAACAATCACACTTCAAGAATGTAAAACAGTCTACAACTAAATGACGTGAAACAAATGAAATGAAATGAAACAAGCCTCTTGACTTACCGACAACAGAACAGACCACTGAGCATCAACAATCGGGACTCACCGATGCACTCCAGCTTCCTCTGCGGACAGCAGTCTTTGACGAGAAGCTTGAGCTCCTGAACGGCGGACTCGTAGGGGTAGGAACCCTGCAGTGCGTCGGGGTCACCGGGGAACAGTTTCAACGGGACGCCGACGTCCGCCGGCGAGGCATCCCGGTACCGCTTCATGCTCGCCTCGAAGGCCTGCTCCCGCTCCCTGTGGACCCTCCTGGGGAGCGAGGACACGAGGGCATCAGACGGGGGAGACGCACGGCGCTTAACACGCAGTCGTCGCTACACATTTTAAGCAGTATGTGGACTTTAAGAAAAAACAAACACATTTAAACTTAAAATAAGAGGTGGTGGTGCATTGGTTTAATTTTTAAGTGACTTTGGTCAAAGTATTACAACCTGGAAAAAGTGTGTCACTGCTGCCCGCTCGTGCATTGAGTTTTATTAAGAAAAAGCAACTGGCAGTTTAAATCTATGAGATTATTGTGGTGGAGGTCAATGCGATAAAATACTTTTAACGCAGTTAACGTAACTTTGTTCACCCTCCGGTGTGCGCTGACCCCTGACCCCTAAAACCGCAGCGTCAGTTAGATGGGAGAGGCGGTGGTTGAAGTTGGGAGCTTTTCGCATCGGAAGTGAAACAGACGGCTACTTCCATCTCAACATCTAACCGCTGTGACGGCGTCCTCAACAAGACAGCGGTGTGGAAACGCCCTGCTAAACGTGGGGAGACCGTTGGCACATCGAACGCAGCCGGTAAGTGATGGAGAGTTGAGCGCAAAGTGCACGAGGACAACAGGAAGAGTCGCTAGTTCAACATGTTCCACCTCCAAGACGATCACATGTGTAGTTCAGTGTTCTTGGCCAATTATATTAATTGCTAATTTGCATTCAAATGAATACTGGAAATGAGCTAATATATGTTTGCGCGTGTGGTTTTCCTGCAGTGATAAATCATGCCACATCGGTGGATGGTATTGTAATAATAGGTCTCGTGGAAAAGGAAGAGGAACGTGTACATTTAGTAGAAGTCAGTAATGGACAAACTCACAACTTTGCAAAACAACTGATCTTTTCAAAGACTTGGGAGCGTGTCGAGAATCAAACCAGCACCACAATGGGAAGAGGATGACAGGACTGGAGTCGCAGTGCCACACGCTGGTCACGACCCACACTGTGTTCTTACGCAATAATCTATGCAAACGCTTAATACATTAGATGAAAAAAAGCTGCCTTAACTTTGAATGCCATGAACCTATTAATACTTTAACTAAAGCCAATTAATGTACTTTGACATTACATAGTTCTAAGATCTTATCTTAGCTACTTGTGAGATTGAGTCAATGGTTATAACTTTATAACAACAATAACCAGCAAAAGACTCTTTAGCAGCGTAAAACACCACGATACAACAGCTTGTGACACAAACAATTTGTAACACTAATAATTGTACATTTCTCAAAATGACTTCAGAACTGCATGCTGGGTTCAGCTCACAACAAGAAGTAACTGCTGCTACATGAAAACACGGCTAGCGATACGGGAGGAACAACGAGAGACCAGAGATGGACCAACACAACTTATGCCCAAAAGAGGAGCTGAGTCTGTTTGGAGGGTTTTTGGTTTTGACGTAAGTTACGTTAGATCAGAAAACGATTTATTGCAAATTGTGTCGAGCCTCTGGTGGCAACACTAGCAGCCGCAACAAGCAAACTAGCTAACATGCTAACAAGGCGGCCAGCGAGCGGCGAACAGCTGATTGGGTGGCTGGCGGTCCTTTTCGGGGTCAATGAATTAATGTGTTTACTTGACAAAGCAATACCGTCACATACCGGGATACCGTCTGAATCTTTCTAAATACCACGTTATGGATTTTAGGCCGTACCGCACAGCCCTACTTCCAGGACCCCGAAGCGAGCCACAAAGAGCTAAACCGACCCCTCTCACCACGGACAGAACCGGTTTGTGTCTCTTCCATCTGGCAGGAGGCTGAGGTCCATCAGGACTAAGACCTCCCGCCACTCAAACAGTTTCTTCCCGTCGGCAGTCGGGCTCATCAACAGAGCCGGTCCCCCACTGACTGACTATAACATCCCACCCGTCACTCCCTTCACACCCCACATGCACACACACACTTGTCACGTTCTGTTCGCTGGTGCACCTTATTTCTGACTTTTTTAAACTTTATTTTTAATTTAAATTCCTCTTGCACCACGTTGTCTTGTAATCATTGTCTTACGCTCTGATGTTGTGCACCAACCACCAGTCAAATTCCTCATGTCTGATATAATTTGGTAATAAATGTTCCTGATTCCTGATAATATAAACCATATAGTTTGAGATTAAATTCCTCTCTACTGCCAGTCACTGACTTGAGCTTATATGAATTTACGTTAAATAGACTATTAGCAGCAGATGGAACAAAGCTGACGCCAAGTGGAGATGATGGGCTGTTGCCCAGCGGACAAGTAGTACCTATTCACTGTGTAACGTCATTAACTACTATTCACTGTGTAACGTCATTAACTACTATTCACTGTGTAACGTCATTAACTACTATTCACTTATGTAACGTCATTAACTACTATTCACTTATGTAACGTCATTAACTACTATTCACTGTGTAACGTCATTAACTACTATTCACCGTGTAACGTCATTAACTACTATTCACCGTGTAACGTCATTAACTACTATTCACCGTGTAACGTCATTAACTACTATTCACCGTGTAACATCATTAACTACTATTCGCTGTGTAACGTCATTAACTACTATTCACTTATGTACCATCATTAAACTACTATTCCGCTCAGGTACCGTCATGTACGCACTTTTCACTTATGTACACGTCATTTAACTACTATTCACTTGTGTAACGTCATTAACTACTATTCACCTATGTAACGTCATTAACTACTATTCACCGTGTAACGTCATTAACTACTATTCGCCGTGTACCGTCATTAACTACTATTCGCCGGTGTACCGTCATTAACTACTATTCGCCGTGTACCGTCATTAACTACTATTCACTTATGTAACGTCATTAACTACTATTCCCCGTGTAACGTCATTAACTACTATTCACTGTGTAACATCATTAACTACTATTCACTGTGTACCGTCATTAACTACTATTCCCCGTGTAACGTCATTAACTACTATTCACTGTGTAATATCATTAACTACTATTCGCCGTGTAACGTCATTAACTACTATTCACTTATGTAACGTCATTAACTACTATTCACTGTGTACCGTCATTAACTACTATTCACCGTGTAACGTCATTAACTACTATTCACTGTGTAATATCATTAACTACTATTCGCCGTGTAACGTCATTAACTACTATTCACTTATGTAACGTCATTAACTACTATTCACTTATGTACCGTCATTAACTACTATTCACTTGTGTACCGTCATTAACTACTATTCACTTATGTAACGTCATTAACTACTATTTCACTTATGTAACGTCATTAACTACTATTCACTTATGTGAACGTCTATTAACTACTATTCAACTTATGTAACGTCATTAACTACTATTCACTTATGTAACGTCATTAACTACTATCCGCCGTGTACCGTCATTAACTACTATTCGCCGTGTACCGTCATTAACTACTATTCGCCGTGTACCGTCATTAACTACTATTCGCCGTGTACCGTCATTAACTACTATTCGCCGTGTACCGTCATTAACTACTATTCGCCGTGTACCGTCATTAACTACTATTCACCCATGTAACGTCATTAACTACTATTCACCGTGTAACGTCATTAACTACTATTCACTGTGTAATATCATTAACTACTATTCGCCGTGTAACGTCATTAACTACTATTCACTGTGTACCGTCATTAACTACTATTCACCGTGTAACGTCATTAACTACTATTCACTGTGTAATATCATTAACTACTATTCGCCGTGTAACGTCATTAACTACTATTCACTTATGTAACGTCATTAACTACTATTCACTGTGTACCGTCATTAACTACTATTCACCGTGTACCGTCATTAACTACTATTCACCGTGTACCGTCATTAACTACTATTCACCGTGTAATATCATTAACTACTATTCGCCGTGTAACGTCATTAACTACTATTCACTTATGTAACGTCATTAACTACTATTCGCCGTGTACCGTCATTAACTACTATTCGCCGTGTACCGTCATTAACTACTATTCGCCGTGTACCGTCATTAACTACTATTCGCCGTGTACCGTCATTAACTACTATTCACCGTGTAACGTCATTAACTACTATTCACTGTGTAATATCATTAACTACTATTCGCCGTGTAACGTCATTAACTACTATTCACTGTGTACCGTCATTAACTACTATTCACCGTGTAACGTCATTAACTACTATTCACTGTGTAATATCATTAACTACTATTCGCCGTGTAACGTCATTAACTACTATTCACTTATGTAACGTCATTAACTACTATTCACTGTGTACCGTCATTAACTACTATTCACTGTGTAACGTCATTAACTACTATTCGCCGTGTAACGTCATTAACTACTATTCACTTATGTAACGTCATTAACTACTATTCACTGTTGTAACGTCATTAACTACTATTCACTGTTGTAACGTCATTAACTACTATTCACTGTGTAACGTCATTAACTACTATTCACTGTGTAACGTCATTAACTACTATTCACTGTGTAACGTCATTAACTACTATTCGCCGTGTACCGTCATTAACTACTTTTCACTTATGTAACGTCATTAACTACTATTCACTTATGTAACGTCATTAACTACTATTCACTTATGTAACGTCATTAACTACTATTCACTGTGTAACGTCATTAACTACTATTCACTGTGTAACGTCATTAACTACTATTCACTGTGTAACGTCATTAACTACTATTCACTGTGTAATATCATTAACTACTATTCGCCGTGTAACGTCATTAACTACTATTCGCCGTGTAACGTCATTAACTAGTATTCGCTGTGTAACATCATTAAGTACTATTACTATAAGACATGCCGAAAATCTCAGTGTCGATATTATTACTATACAAGACAAGCCTGTCGTGAAGACGATATAAATACATATTAAGTGGTTCAATTGGGCTCAACAGAACAGGGATTTGACTGGTAAGAAGCATTCCATGTCTAAGAGAACCCCTTACAGTACGAACGTCGACGTGGGCTGCAGTACCTGAACAGAACCACCAGGGCGCTCCACAACGGCGTGAAGAAGGCTTCCTCGATGCTGGCGAGGCACAGGTCTTTGGAGCTGGCTGTGTTTAGACACTCAAAGGACAGCAAACACAGTGACAGAAGCTGATCTGAAACACAGAGAAACACATCAACCAACTACTTTCATATCGTTTGTTAATTCAGCCTCAAAGGTTTAACAGCAACAAGGACCTTCTTGCTAGTAATCTCCTCTCATCTTCAACCACTTAGCAGGGTCGGGGAGCTCCAGCAGCTCTGGGGGATCCCAAGTCCTGGGTCTCACCTACCCGGAGTGGGCTAACAATCAACAGTATAAATATCCTCACAAAAACTCTCCATCCTCATAGATCAGGCTCACCAATTGCAATGTGAATGTCTTTGACCACGGCCTTCAGGTGTTCCGTCAGCGCCCTCATCTCCAGCTCCTGCACGGTGCCTTCTTCCTGCTCTCGCTGCATTGAGGGGTCGAAGGTCAGCTCTGAGTCAGAACCGGGGTCGTCCGTGCTGCCATGGAGCGGCGCCCAGTCCAGCTGGGTCAGGAACTGCTCCAGATCCTCGAACGAGTTCTCCCGATCCACGCTCGCCTGCTCGTGAGGCTCCTCGTCGCCCTCCTCGTCGCCGTAGTCTGAATGCAGGTGGTGAGAGCGGGAGCGGGAGGGGGACAAGCCCGCGCTGAAGCTGTAGCCCCCGATGCTGCTGCCCCTGCTCGGCCTCTTCTGGGTTTCTGTGTGGTCAGATGTATGATGTATATCGGTGGTCCCCAACCACCGGGCCGCGGGATGAGCTTCTGAGTTCATTTTTATCGCAAAGATTCATGTGATTCAAAATTGCAGTGTTGGCCGGCACGAATACTGCTTTTATAAACACTAATACTATTATCAATCAATTACTTGGTTATAATTGATAATCTTAACAAACAAAAGAAATAAAACTAATTAACATTTTAACACCCACACTGTTCTGACAGCAGAACCGTTAACGATGCACCAGGTATTTACCACCGTCTTATCGCCTCTCGTTTTGAACCAGGTATTGGGGGGCATCCGTAGTCCTCTGATTTGATGTCTTAATATGGACCATGTTAAACTTGTTTAAGTTGTAATATTCTACAATGAACACCCATTTTCTTTGCTTGCCATTTTATTTTAAATCTGTCCTCTGGTATTCACGCAACCAGAAGATGAGAAAATCCACCAGATAGGCGCGAGCTACTGGAGCTGGCTCTTACCAGCGTGATGCAGGCTGTGGGTGCTGCAGGAAGGCCTCAGCGGCAGGGCAGCGCTGTGGGGGAGGCCTTTACTGACGATGGGGTAGAGCCGGTTGTACACCCGGTACTGGTGTTTCCTCAGCAGCTTCACCACCGGGTGGTCCGACCGGCTGTAGAACCCCGGACAAATGTTAGCTCGTCCCTCCTCTGGCCGTCATATAATCATTTGATTTTAGTGTGTGTAACAACAGAGAAACTAGACACTTCCGAACAAACGCGCATCGACAGCCGAGCAGGAAACTAATCAGTTGAAGTGATTGCGTGATAAAACGTTTAAATGTGTAAGTGTAACAACTAAGCTTAGTGTTGCGACTTGATAGTAAGATCGGGAGTAACTGGGTGGAAGCCAGTTAAAGCAGGTGAACTGGTCTGGATCCAGAGTTTACAGTCATGTCAGCTTGTTACATTACAGATTATAGGCACAAAAGATGCCATGTTGACGAAGACATTCATCAATGTTTCTATGCAGTTTATATTTTCTATATTCAGGATGTTCAGGGACCAAAACCCTCGAAGCTCCACAAACAGGGAAGTTCACTGATACAACAAACATCTCGTAATCAAAAGCACTTTAACCCTCTGAACACAAAAGCAGGTTTGAAAAGCCGGTTTTCTTTAAAAAAAAAAAAAAAAAACATTAGCAGAAAAGGCCAATTCATCATTAATCACAGCTGACAGATTCAACAGGTTTGGATTTAACACTCCAAGTGTGACAAACTCTTCCGTCAGGAAAGGAACCAAATTGAAGCTTATGATATTTGATAGAAATTGCTTCATTATACATGTTTCATTCAGTATTAATTAGGGCTGCATTGAGTAGTTGACGTAGTCGACGATTATAACAAATTGTCGACGCGGATTTCTATCGTTGACGCGTCGTATATTATAAAAATATTCGGGGTCTTTGTCAATACATCACAGGAAGTGCTGGGAAAAGAGGTGTCTTTTCACAGCAGCACGACTTCTCATGTTTCAGTTAGTTACCTGAGCAGGTAGGAGACGAGACCTGAAACCAACGCCTCATCCCCAGGATTCTTCCTCATGTTGGCTTTCCACAATTTGGGCCAATCCTAAAAGAGCAAAGATTAAAAAGTAATAGTAAATAACACGTTGGCTAATTTACCTATAAAACCATAAATGTTGATTCATTTTATTTTACCTGATCAACCTAAATCGGATCACGGCCACTTTTCTTTGTTTGTGAAAGAAGAAGGTTTATAAGACGCACAAAGCCGTTTGCTCCTCAGCTTGTCGTATCATCACATATTGAACACTCCAAGTTTTCTCTTCAGACCAAGTGCAACTCAAAAAGGTATCACTTTGTGTGCTGGTAACTTGTAATAAAGTCTTCCATTACTCTTGACCCAAGCATGAGGGTTCACTTACGTGGTCTTGCTCATATTCCAGGACGTTGGTGTAGAGAATACGCTGCTCCTGCTCCTCCGTGGTCATCGCGCCAGATGCTGCGAATCTCCTGTAGCGACAAACTGACCGTCAAAGATCTTCTTTGTCTTCGTCAAAGAAGATTCATGAGTATGAATATTAACGAGTCACTGATGGATTTACATGGATGAACAGTCTTTTCTCTACCGGTTTACAAAAGTGACTAAACGCTTAGCTGGAATGTATTGAGTGCTTTGTCAGCAACAGATAACAGCACGGGCTCCTCAGGGAGCCAGAAGCACAGCATGCACACACTGGTTACAACTAACTCGTAGTGAGATTTCAGAAGAACATTATTTTTGAGGGCGACATGTATTTTAAAGCGCTTATAGAAAGAAAGCGCAAGATAGACACGGAATGACCACATTCAGTGCATTTGTCTGAGAATGGCAGCGTACCTGTTGGCCTCCTCCTGTAGCCTCAGTCTTCTCTCCTCCATCTTCCGCTGGAGCTAATTTCCCAGCAAACATTAAGGAAACTCCAAGCATTGTGGTCCTTATACTGACTAGCTCATAGTTATATATATATATATATATCTCAGTATTCCACAGTCAATCATTTAAATGTATTGTGTTCAGCTGTTTGCAATGACAGCACCTGTTAAATGTGTTTGAACACCTTCCCTCTGGCAGGAGGCTGCAATCCATCAGGACCAAGACCTCCGGCCCCACAAACCGCTTCCCGTCAGCAGTCGGGCTCATCAATAAAGTCCAGCCTGACCGGCTCCAACCTGCACTCCAAGGACAAGCTTTGCACATCCTTTCCGCACTTTATTTAATATACAATACACTGGATACTTTATTCTATTTTTGAACACTATTCTTGTTTTTTGCACTTTGTGACAAGAAAGATTCCTTTAACGTGCAACACACTTCGGGTCAGTTTGCTGTATGTCCGTCCCTCCACCAAGTTGATATAAAGGGGATTTCAGAGCTGGGAAAGGTTGTGTGAATAAAACATCAAACATTGCCTTATAGATAGACGTAGAGTTTAGTGAAAAGAGATTTAGTGAAAACAAAAGGATACAGCATCCTGTCTGGCTTTGGCTATGATCAGGTTCTCCATCATCTGTCGCTGGAGCGACAGCGTCTGCATTGGATGGGAGAGGAAATTAATTAACATACATACAATTCAATATACCAAAGGAAAAAGAGAGGTTATAAATATGTTAATTGTTGGCAAAGAAATAAGCATATTGTCCATAAATATGTGCCATTATGTCGTGGGCCTCCCCAGTTCCCATTGGTTATTAAAGTCACTGAAACACAATCACAATGTTACGATAAGGACAAGGCAAACACCGAGAGCCAAACTTACACAATCAACCCGCACAGGAAGACGGTCAGAAGTGACAGCTGCCACTCTGTGCTCACACGGCCATAAAGAAAACCACATCCCGTCCAACAGTTTCATTTAGAAGAGCAAAATAACAGCGTAGTAATTCAAAATGTCAAAAATGCTCAGTGGAGCTGAGAAGGTTTTCCATTGTTTAGTAAAGCTAACGCCGGGTTAGAAAGGTCGTATTTGTATTATTATTTTGGGACGCGCCTCGTGATATTTAAGAATCTTAAAACCCAAATGGGTTCCATGCTGTAAATAAATGGAAATCCTTCCTCGTGGTTTGTACCATTACCAACACGTCGGCTGCTTCTCGCCGGTGACTGCGCAGGCGCGACGAGAGCTAACGTCAGCTAACAGCTAACAGCTAACGCTGACAGCTCGCGGCGTGGATTCACAGGCGCGTGACTTTACCTTCACGAAGCTCTTCAGCGTTCTCCAGGAAGCACGGTGCTCCACTTGGCGCTGAAACATTTTCCGTATCTGAATGACAAGTTAACGTTATTTAAAAAATAAAAATAAAAAAAAACCTCCCGACAGAACTCAGAATGGAGATTTGACTTTGAATTAGCTTAGCGTGTGAAGCCGTGGCAGTTAGCGTCGGCTAACAAAACGTCTCTCGCTACAGGTTAAACGTCGTGTCTGTCCGCTCACCATCTTGTTATCTGACTTGGAGGCAGCTAAGGACCGAAGAGACGAACGCCGGCGGCGGGGGAGAAATATCTGCTTTTTCAAGCGTTTGCGTTATCTTGCGTTAAAAGACCTCGCGAGGACAGAAGTGTCCCCCTCAGCACACCGCGGCGTCACTCAGGCGTCCGCCATCGGAGCGACGCGCGAGCCCGCGAAGACTGACAGCGGACCGGAAGTACCGCCGACAAATTCCAAAATAAAAAGGTACACGCAGGAAGTCGCAGAGACAACTAATGGAAAGAAACATGCGTCCAATACATGGCGTGGATGCGGAGGCCAAGTCATCTTCATCCAACATTGAGTCAGTTGGTTTTTATACATGTTTTAACGTAGTTGATTCTTCTGTTTCCAACCACTAAACCAATTTCAGAGATACTGTCCTTTCATAGTTTTTTTTTTTTTAGATCTTTCCCTCAAAACTACAAATCTCAACCCCATGGTGACGCTAAAGGAAAACTGAAGAAGTCACCAGAATACATCTTATTGTAACAACAATCACAAAATAAACACCCCCCCATAGTCCCCCCATAAGTTTGAACTTTGACCGTCTGGTGACAGTAGAGAAAAAGTCAATAGGTTTAATCCTACTAATGTCAAAAAATACACCGGCAGTCCATCCAACTGTCGTTAGGATCCATCAATATAGAAAACAAAAAGTTGCACGTAAAATATTGATGATGCGGCGATCAATGGATGGAACCATAATCAGTCAGCAGTGTTGCAATCGTGCGACTGATGAAACCCTGAAGTTGCTGGTAAACACATCGTAGTCACATGTTTCCTCGCGGGTTCACCGCTCTGCGATGTCTGTGGAATACTGAGAGCCCACACACCCTTCGTCTGGTTATGACATCCACATTCGTATAAAAGGAGGTTGCATTGTGGGAAACCTCTGAAATGGCACAAACCTCTTTGCCCTTTTAATTCCACACACAGAGACACACACACACACACACACACACATACACACACATACCAAAGACGTCTTCTGGTAGGCCTGACCAGGTGTGAGCCTCGCCAGACGAGCTTCATAGTTGGCTTTCAACTTCTGATTCAAACGTGATGCTTCTTCAATGGGGGTCAGCTGTCTGCGGCGTGCACACACACACACACACACACACACACACAAACAACGTGTCACTTAAAGGGTGTGTCACAGGCAAATAAAACAATCTCATGATGGTGTCATTGTTCTTTAGCGGCTTTCACTGCTGATTTCCCTGATATTCTCTTATCCACTTGGACAACATTGTCATAAAAAAAAGCTCATAAAACCACCAATAGCTGCCACATATGGCAGCGACAAGATTCTGTTCATGTCACTTATAGAATAAACTTACTAAAAGTATCCTCAGAAATAGTTGATTGCAAAGACGACGCAGAGAGGGAGCGACACATTTAAAACCATCACAGGTCTAAAGTGTAGAGCAGTCGGGGGTTGAAACGTGCAGGAAGGTGAAGCGGAGCTTCTCTTGTCCCTGACGCGTTGTCCACTTTTCAGAGCACTTCTGTCACCTAATGGTGCAATATTTTCTCTCCTCGATTGAAAACCAGCTCCTACTTTTTGCTCGCGTCCCGTGACTCCACGGTTTGTAGTCTCTGGAAGACTTCAGGGGGCAGGAAGGGGGAGACGTCCCCATCGCCATCCGACGGCACCCCGCGGTGACCGGCCGCTTCACCGGGAGAATCAAACAGAGGGGCTGTGAGAGAAGAGGTGAAAACAGGGGGGGGGGAGGGAGCGGTGATTGGACAGAGCACCGAATCACGTGCCGGGGGCGGGCTCAAAAGCTAGCAGTGACTAAGCAGCGGCGCGTGCTCCCAACTGGACGCACTCACCGGCGTTTGCCGCAACGGCGGCCGGTCGCGGGGGGCTCCGCTGCGATTGGCCAGGTGAACGTGAACGGGAGGCGGCGGGGAGGTCGGGGGGCTCGCCTCTCCTCCCCACAAAGGCCTTGGATCGCTCCAGACACTGCTCTGCCAGCCTCAGCATCCGCTCCACCTCCACCACGTCCCCGTCCTCTGCGTCTGGGGGGGGGGGACACGGAGGACAGAGCCAGTGACTCCTGCGGGGAGGGGGGGATTGATCGAACGCAGCCCTATTGAATGGAAAGGTCGTCACATGGCATCTGAGATCTGATTCGCTTCACAGTCGAATGGACTGCGGCTGATTAGTTCACTGCTCAGATTACTCATCCGGCGTGAACTGGTTCACTGAGCACAAGGAGAAAGCGCTCAGGCTTTGCTCTTATGTATCTCGCTTTTGTGATTTCATTTTATATTTAGTGAAATCACAAAAGATAAATAATATGTTAGTAAACAGTACTATTCGAACGTGTAGACACATTGAATTAAATGGTAGTTGTTGACATGCCGATGACTACTTGTGTATCTATGAACGTGCATGTGTAAATACTGCACACACACACAGTCATTCCTCAACAGTCTGGGAGCTTTATGTAATCATGTCCAGCACAACACCTGGATCCTGGGTGTCCAGTTGTGCACCAACATCCGCTGCTGCTGTAATTATTACGCAGCAGTAGTTGTTCTATTGTTGCTCTGCTTGCTGCGTTGTGACTGTGACATCATTCATCCTGCTCTCGTGTCCGTGCGGATAGCGATAGCGGCAGAGGAGGATCCCTCTGAGCTTCATTGCATTTGGAAATTGATTTACTCAAATGAGCCGGCGCAGCAGAATCCGGTGCCTCCTCTCGCCTGCAGGCCGAGAGAGTCGCTCACGCCGTTATCTCCTCCAGACGGCGCCTTTCCCTCGTGTCAGCAGAGGAAACGCTCAAAGAGAAGTGACCACATCGCGCCGATCCCCGCTGCCCTTTAACTGGTTCCTCGTGACTTTTTGGAATTTTTAAGATTTTACTGCTTGTTTCTAAAACCTTTTGTGTCGTGAGCTTTGCCGACATCTACACTCTAAAAAGTGACCTCTAACTACTTTTATTTGACCTTAAGGGAAAACTACATGATGTGAAGGAGAATTCATGAGCAGACAGCAAATAATAACCAGAGAATTATGATGCACGACAGTCGTTAAATGTTGTCATTCGGTTATATTTAGCTTTTTAACCGCTCAATCATTTATTATAGGCCTGGATTTGCTGTCATCTAAGTGGCGCAGGACTCCTTAGTCAACGTCTGTTTGTGGCGGTTCTATCCTCCTCCTCTACAGACGCATCAGCCCAAATGCCACCCTGATAATAACCATAATAATAATACTTTCGTTTTTTATTGCGCTTCTCCAGGAAGACGCTTTACAATGACAGAAAAGAACAAAACCAGACAAAAAAAGAAACAATCAGATAAAATCAAACTAAATAAGTTACGTGCTGCCTGAGTGTTCGAGGCTCTCTGGCAGACATTTTGGGCCTTTTGTGAAACCTTCCCATAGATCAGCATTATATGCTGACTTTGCCAAAGGGATTTACCCACAAGACATTGCTCTGTGACCATAAAAACGAGATGACCAGTGAGATGTTAAAAACGGCAAACAAAGAGGACGGCACGTGTGCGTCCAGACGTCATAACAAATGCATACAATGAAAATATTAAAGATGGGGAATAAAACACATGAAAGCAGTCTATTTACAAATGTATTCTTCCAATAATACATTGAAATCAGAGAGTAAAAAGTATACATACCCTCAAATGAAAATCATATTTTTCAAGTGCTGTTCCATTTACATGTCAAGCCGTTTAGCAGGTGACCTCAGCTCAGTCCCTGAGGGTTCAGGGTTCGGGGGTTTAGGGGGGACATTGGGATCGGGACGTCTTCCCTGCAGTACTCTAAGCAGCATAACACTGTAGCTTAGAAGCAGCCTGAGAATTATTGATATCGGTCTACTGCTGCGAACAGGGTCAGCCACGATTGTGAAATATCTTGAATATCTGCTCATGCAAGTAAAAAGACAAATCAATAGGACAGCCAGCAGATGTGTACTGAGGTAACAGTCCTTACATGTAAGCTCACAATGAGGACGGGTCAACTGTTACGCGTGTGGCAGAAGGCCTTCACAAGGGAAAGCTCTTTGGAGTAATCTGAAATCATGCTTTTATTCCCAGACCCAGTCCAATTAAATGCAACCTTCTTTGTTCATGTTGGCAGTTGGATTGTGGGCAGGTAGAAACTGAGAGGAAACACCGACAGACAGACCGGTGCAAGCGAAGGAGCCGTTAAGGACTATTTGGGGCAGATGGTGCTAAAGGTTAGAAACACAAACAAATATGAAACGCACCTTGTAAGAAAATAAAAATCATAAAAAAAGGCTGCAAAATCCAGTAAACACACTGAAGGGAAATTGAACACGCGGTTAGATATTCATCATAAACCTCTCTAGTCAGTTACGTCGATGCTCTGATCTTACCTTGCGAAGCAGCTTCCTCCAACAGTGAATGTGAGATGTAGTTTATCGTCCGGAGGTATTCACAGTAAGCCTCCTGCAGAGAGACCATATTACCGTATTATTATCTCTGTGCTAGGTGTAATAATACAATAATATATAACACTGGAGAATACAAACAGCATCCTCCCCTGTTGGTACGTTCGACATCAGTCGAGCTGAAACAGCACATGGTTTACGAATAAATAAATGCATCAAATCGACAGTAGTAAATTAAATCTGACCGAAGCAGATTTTCATACACTGCATTCAACATTTCAGGTGATTTGATAGAGACGAATGAAATGTCTCTCCTGTTATTGACACACAACAGGTTCATTCTGCATACTTGCTGTCACATGAGACATAATGGTGACATGTGAACACTGGCTCCGGTAAAACAATGTAACAGCTTATTGTGTCGCGCTATCTAATAAAATGTAACATATTACGAAAGTTAATGGCAATCTTTATAGAATGCTAAATGATACGTTACTTCTTCCTTCATGACATTAACTATCACAAACTATTTATGAAAAATGAAGCGAGAAGGGGACACATTTAGCAACAAGATGGTTTTAAACGGCTCTCTGCCGCCCCAACTCCATTAAAACATAACGTGAGCGTTCGGTGACGGGTTAGCCACAGCTAGCTATCGTTAGCTAACGGCGGCTAACATGCTAACGGTTCCCGCCCCCTCCGTCTGTTTACGTCGCCACAGACCGGCATCCCGCCCGGTTAAACCTTCCCGCCGGCGGCGCTCTCGCGCTGCGTAGCCGCCGGGCAGCAGCTCGCTACCTTGTGCTTGTTCTCTCCGTCCAGCTGTATTGCCACTTTGGCCATTTTCATGGCACTTTGAAGCGGCTTCGTCCCGCTGTCAGCCGTGGCCATGATTACGCCGCAACCTGTTCTTCTTCTTCTTCTCCTTCTGCTGCATCGTCTTCTTCCTGTTTCGCTGTTGAAGGTTGGTAAACAAGTGTTAGAGGTGTTTGCTGCCACCTGCTGCACGGCAGCGCAATGCACTGTTACTCACGTGATTGAATGAGTTAAAAAAAACATCATCAAAAAGTACATACAGATAACACATACTACGAATGAATGAACAAATACACGTGGCTGTAAAATGTTATAGCTAATTAATAAAAATGTCTGATATTATGATGCGTGGTTGCTGTATTTGAGTCAACTTATGACCTACATTTCCACCAAATGTGATTAAGGAATTGAATGACATGATACCTGCTGGTGTGTAGCTGATGACAAGCGAGGCGTAAAAAACCCCTCCCAGTGCAAGAGCAATGAAAAGATAATAATAATAATATAAAAAACTGCAAACCTGCATTTAAAATGATGTTGTTATGGAGATATTCTGACAAATGGAACTGAAATCAATGTTCCATTTGATAAATCGAACACACAGGGTTTGTAACCAATTAAATCTAGAGACCATGGTGACTGGCTCCGCCCCCTTACTGTCAAAAAGAACAGCGAGCGCGTAGAGCACCTTCGAGCGCGAGACGGAGATTTGCTCACGGATGTTTGATTTACGCGCGAGCATCAACCCGATTTGCGCTCTCGAATTTTGACAGTGATTTGCCGCCATAGTTTAAGGATTCAAGTCTCTTTTGCTTCACTGGCACTAAGAAACGGCAAGAGCTAAAGCAAGCTAGCAATCAAGTTATCTTAAAACAGTAGAATCAACATCACATTTAGCAGACTAGCTTGGTTTAAAGAGAAGATACTTAGTCCGATTTCAGGTCGCCTGGATGTCTGAAGGCCTAATAGTCGAGATGCACGCTGAAGCGTTCAGAGCGATAAAGGAGAAACAAGGAGAGACCAGAGATGCACCAACGCAACTTGTGCCCAAGAGAGGAGCTGAGTCTGTTTGGAGGCTCTTTTGGAAAATCCGACGTAAGTTCGATCAGAAAACGATTTCTTGCAAAGCCTCTGGTGGCAACACTACCAGCTACAACAAGCTATACCTTACCATTATCATTAACTACTATTCACTGTGTAATATCATTAACTACTATTCACTGTGTAATATCATTAACTACTATTTACTGTGTAACGTCATTATATTATTCAATGTGTAACGGCTTGGGAGTATGATCATCCCGAGGGATACTGTGGGAGGTGCTGCAGGAGTACAGGGTGAGGGGGTCCTTGCTTGGGGCCATCGAACCCTTGTACGCCCAAAGCGAGAGCTGTGTTCGGGGGCTCGGCAGTAAGTCGAAGGCGTTTCCGGTGGGGGTTGGCCTTCGCCAGGGCTGCGCCTTGTCACCAATCTTGTTTGTGGTCTTCATGGACAGGATATCGAGGCGTAGTCGGGGGGAGGAGGGTCTACAGTTCGGGGAGCTGCGGATCTCATCGCTGCTTTTTGCAGATGTTGTGGTCCTGATGGCATCTTCCGTCTGTGACCTCCAACTCTCACTGGAGCGTTTCACAGTCGAGTGTGAAGCGGTCGGGATGAGGATTAGCACCTCTAAATCTGAGGCCATGGTTCTCAGCAGGAAACCGATGGATTGCCTACTCCAGGTAGGGAATGTGTCCTTACCACAAGTGAAGGAGTTCAAGTACCTCGGGGTCTTGTTCACGAGTGAGGGGAAGATGTGTGAGTTTGGCCGGAGAATCGGAGCAGCGGGGGCGGTGTTGCACTCGCTTTACCGCACCGTTTTGACGAAAAGAGAGCTGAGCCGGAAGGCAAAGCTCTCGATCTACCGGTCAATCTTCGTTCCTACCCTCACCTATGGTCATGAAGGATGGGACATGACCGAAAGAACTAGGTCCCGGGTACAAGCGGCCGAAATGGGTTTCCTCAGGAGAGTGTCTGGCGTCTCCCTTAGGGATAGGGTGAGAAGCTCAGCCATTGGCGAGGAGCTCGGAGTAGAGCCGCTGCTCCTTTGCGTCGAAAGGAGCAAGTTGAGGTGGTTTGGGCATCTGGTGAGGATGCCCCCTGGGCGCCTCCCTAGGGAGGTGTTTCAGGCACGGCCAGCTGGGAAGAGGCCCCGGGGAAGACCCAGGACCAGGTGGAGAGATTATATCTCTGCACTGGCCTGGGAACGCCTTGGGATCCCCCAGTCACAGCTGGTAGATGTGGCCCGGGAAAGGGAAGTTTGGGGTCCCCTGCTGGAGCTGTTGCCCCCGCGACCCGACCCCGGATAAGCGGTTGAAAATGGATGGATGGAACTTACATGTTTGGCCTCTTCATCTGCCCTCTGCCGCTTTCCGGATGGACGGTCACTCTCCTCCGGCGTGATTGTGTCACCTGAGTTGCAGGACACGATTTCGAGGGTGACTGTGTCACTTCTACCAGCAGACAGTTCACTGGAATTTGCTTCTGGGGAACTGCTGGACAAAGTTTCCTTGAGATCTGTAGTTAAGGAGAAAGACAGGACAAAATAAATAATACCAATTTGTTTTATTTTGTAACAATAAAAAAGTTGAGTTCATTGTTTTACATTCCATGGATTATATTACATCACATCACACGTCATTTATCTGACGCTTTTATCCAAAGCGACTTACAATAAGAACATTTCAACCATAAGGACACAAAGTCAGAAGAGCAAGAAACAAGAAAGTGCATTTTCCTCAAATAAGCCGATTTACAACTTGCTATAGATGAGTGACGTTATAAGTCCAATGTAAGTGCTCCAGGTAGTTAGTGTGTTAGTGGAGGTGTGTCTTTAGTCTGAAGATGTGAAGGCTCTCTGTGGTCCTGATGTCTTCAGAGACCTGCTTCTACCATTTAGCAGCAGGACAGCAAAGAGTGGAGATCTAGTCGAGTGTTCTGCTCTCCGCAGGTGTCCACGCGGCAGAAGAACGACTGCTGATGCCGAGATGCCCGCGCCCGGAAAGGCCTTTTTCTTTCAAAAGTCTGAGACCACGATGGTCCACCTCTAAAATCTTCTTTTGTCTTTCAGTCGGATCCGCACGGTGGAAACACCTCGGCGTCTGCTCTCTGTGTGTTCAGTCTTCAACAACGTTTTCAAGTTCGGGGCGTCTGCTTTTATTTCCTCTGGAAGCTTTTCTCGTCTTCTTGCGAGTACGTTCTTCACATTTACGTCTCCAAACGTCTCGCCATTGATTCATTAATGGCAATTTTACGTGCAGCCGCTCTGTTTCCTTCTCCGACAGCCAGATTGGTTGCCAGTAACTTAAACGCGCCGCAGGGTTCAAAGCGTGAGAAAAAAGTAACGGCTTATAGTCGGGAATTTACGATACATTGAAAACAATGTATAGTACGAGGACTACAGATTTATTGCAGACCTTATTGTGTGTAAAAATGTCCTTTAGTTATAATGAGGATGATGTATAATATAGACATAAAAAAAATACAATTAATAAACATTTTAACCAAATTTTACCAAATAAACCTAATTAGAGGGTATTCGTTAATACATTAATGTGATAGAAGTAAATAAAATGGGGCGAAAATAGTAACTTCGTTCCTCATTTGCATGATAAATTCTTCATTCATTCTTCACGACATACAAACATATGAATATATTTTAGTTTTCGACAGCAGAAGGAAACCGAAGCATCACAAAGACAAAATGTAAACTGCAGGTTCAAAAGAAACAACTGTGAAATAGTAATGATTTGAAGTCAAGTGATGTTTAGAAAAACTGAAATTTGTATTGATTAGGTTTTAAATTTAGGCTTCACTTCTTTTATCAATGTATTCCAATGTAAATTAAAAACAGTGAATGAAAGTCATTCACATTTTGGTTGTAGCTGTTACATTCCTTTGGATGTCTTTAGATTACATTTCAGTAAACTGCATACGGATCTTTGTGGGAAATGATTCCCATAACTCATGAACTTCCTCGCACAAATTTCCAAAGTAAAAGCACATCACGTTGGAGTTCTGGTGAAATGGGTTCTCTCGCAGTCGATTCCCTTTGATGAACTGGACACTCCACATTTTAACGTCTCGTAACTCCATGGTTACAAATTACAAATTTAATTACGCACACTAATAGCATTTTGTATATTAATGTGTGCATAGAATCCCACTTCATGCCGCGTCCTGCAGTAGGTGACCACTGGGGCTCTCAACATGGCTCAAAAATGACGTGAGAATATTCGCTTAAAAAACACAGATATTCAAATATATTTAGTTAAGTTTAAACCAATTTAACAACATATTACCTACAACTGACTTCTATAATTTTAAAATCTAAATCTTCTACTAGTCTCTTGGATCCGATTTCTGTCTGCTTAAGGACGTCTTCACTCGATATGATGAATCTGTCTTTGTTGACAGGACATGTACCACAGTCCTTCAAGGTAGCTGTAATTAAACCTCTTCTTAAGAAACCTACTGTTGCTCCAGAGGTGTTGGCTAACTACAGACCTATCTCTAATCTTCCCTTCCTCTCTAAGATCCTTGAGAAATCCATTGCTTCATATATTCATTCATTCATTAGACGGTGACTGCTGGGAACAAAAGGCGCCGCGTCGGAGCTCAGCCAACGGCTCCAGAAGCGAGTCTCCGCTGCTCATTGGTGGAAAATGATTTCAAACTGTCCGCCAATCTCAGAGGTCCCGCCCTCTGCTCTCGCGCCTGGAGCCTCTTCTCTGGTTGGTGCGCGCGTCAGGGACCGTCCCGCCCACTCCGCGGACATATAAAGGAGGGTTGGACGCGACCACCGACACTTCCTTTCCTCCACACAGTCTAACGATGAGCGGCAGAGGCAAAACCGGTGGAAAAGCCAGAGCGAAGGCCAAGACCCGCTCCTCCCGAGCCGGGCTCCAGTTCCCGGTCGGTCGCGTCCACAGACATCTGCGCAAAGGGAACTACGCGCAGCGTGTGGGCGCAGGAGCCCCCGTCTACCTGGCGGCCGTGCTGGAGTACCTGACCGCCGAGATCCTGGAGCTGGCCGGAAACGCCGCCCGCGACAACAAGAAGACCCGCATCATCCCGCGTCACCTGCAGCTGGCTGTCCGCAACGACGAGGAGCTCAACAAGCTGCTGGGCGGAGTGACCATCGCTCAGGGCGGCGTGCTGCCCAACATCCAGGCGGTGCTGCTGCCCAAGAAGACCGAGAAGCCCGCCAAGAAGTAGAGACGGAGGCCTCCATCTGCACCACAAAGGCTCTTTTAAGAGCCGCCAACCCCACGAAAAGAGCTGCGGTCCACATGTCTCAGTATGAAGCACAATAACAAACTCCTTTCTAGTGCTTTGCATTGTTCTGAGTGTTTGTGTATAAAACACTTTGAGGGTAATTAACTGATTTGGGATCAACTGACCAGATAACTATTAGATCAGTATTCGGTTATAGATCAAGTCATTGATGCGGTGTTTAACACTGGCACAGTGCCTACGACTTTTCCTGTTGTCCTTTTTGATGTTTTGCTATTTCAGTAAATCCCACTGTAATCAATGTAAAAATACAGTGGATATTTGTCGAATCTGTCACTGATTCCAGTCCATCAAATGTCCTATTTGTTTATTTAAAAGGATCCCCATTAGCTGACGGTGAGACGACAGCTAGTCTTCCTGGGGTCCAAAAAAAAAATACATAAAAGAACAGTAATCACAATCACAATTACTCACATATATATGCTTGACCACCAGCCAAGCAAGACGGTCATGCATCTCTGCAACACTAGTTCGCAAAGAACAACCAAGAACCAGTCTTGCAGCCTTATTTTGAGCCACTTGTAATTTTTTTAAATGACTGCTTGCTGCAGCACACCATACAACAGAACAGTAATCCAGACGACACAAAGCCAATGTACAAACAACACGACTGAACAACCGTGAATTTAGAAATTGTGCACATTTAAGCGTTACTGCTACAGCTCTACCCATTTTAGCAAACACTATGTTGATGTGATCAGACCATAACAATGTGGAATCCAGCCAAAGTCCAAGAAGCTTCACCTTTTTTACCTGCTGTACATTTTGACCATTTACTTGTATATTCATTTTCGGATTATCAGATAGTCTATGCTTAGAAACAAATATTATACTCATAGTTTTTGAAATATTTAGAACAAGTTGATTTGTTTTGATCCAGTTATACAATTTGCTCATCTCGCAAGACAAATCCCGATTAAGCTCTGAACATGTGGGGGCTTTATAATAAAGAGTGGAATCATCAGCAAACATAGTTAATGTAGCCTTACTGAGTATATACGGCATATCATTCGTAAAAATCGAAAATAACAAAGGTCCGAGGCAACTTCCTTGAGGAACACCACAATCCAGGGACTTGCTACAAGATAATACACCATTAAAATAAACTCTTTGCGACCTCTCCGACAAATAGCTCTTTTAGCCAAACTAACCCGATGGTTGATGTCGAGCTACATGATTCCTCACAAACTAATTTGCGCTCAAACGTTAATTTAAACTACTAGACTTCAGTCATCAGAATAATTGCGCTCATCCAACTTCTAAAGTCACATCACAAAGTGAGTCTAGCCATAAAAACACAAACTGTTTCACTTCCGTGGCTCAGTGTGCTGAATGCCTACAAGTCCTGTTAAGGTGCACTATAATATTTATTTATGACTATTATACATGTATTTGTCTATTCTGGATGAAAAAAAGGGGTGTGTCATGTCTTGACACGTCAAGAATTGAAGTGTGTAACTGTAACTATCAACAGGGCCCTGTGATTGTGAATGGTTTGTGTGACGCTCATTAGATGATTTCAGTGCACACAATGATTCTTACAACATGATTCTCAATGTGAAACTCACGAGACAAACTCGTGTTAAAAGCACCAAAGTGATTCGGTCTCAATAGAGAAATCCGCCTGTGAGACGCATGCGCAGTATCACACAGAAGACAACCAATCACGCTCGAGCGACCGCACAGTTTCATTTGCATCTCGTTCATATATGAACACCGTCCTGTTCACATCGCGAAATTGTCAGTCTGCGACAGAGACTTGAATCATGCCTGAGGTTGTGAAAGCGCCCAAGAAGGGCTCCAAGAAAGCCGTGTCCAAGGCCGTCAGCAAGAGCGGCAAGAAGAAGAGGAAGACCAGGAAGGAGAGCTACGCCATCTACGTGTACAAGGTGATGAAGCAGGTCCACCCCGACACCGGCATCTCCTCCAAGGCCATGGGCATCATGAACTCGTTCGTGAGCGACATCTTTGAGCGCATCGCCGGCGAGGCCTCTCGCCTGGCTCACTACAACAAGCGCTCCACCATCACCTCCAGGGAGATCCAGACCGCTGTGCGCCTGCTGCTGCCCGGCGAGCTGGCCAAGCACGCCGTGTCTGAGGGGACCAAGGCCGTGACCAAGTACACCAGCTCCAAGTGAGCCTGATGTAGACCACCAACCCAAAGGCTCTTCTAAGAGCCACCCACCTCTTCTAAAGATCACTTCTATGTTTCCCCACATGTTTGTTATCCTGTCAAACACAATCAAAGCACTATTGTTTAGCCCTTAACATCTGTTGAAAATGGGAGAGTGCCAGCATTTGTGAATAGACCTTTAATACACTGCAGTTATCTTTCATTTTGTTTTAATATATAAGGGGAACACAAATTCCAGAACACAGCAGGTACATTTTGTCTGTTGGGAAATTTGTCTTTTGTTGGTATATTGCTTCAGAATGCCATGGAGCCTGTGATCCCATCATTGAAGCCTTGGTGTGTAACTTTCTGTTCTCTCAACTTGACTGACCGACATTTGCAGAGCTGTGAATGCGACTGAATTGTGACTAAATTTGACGGTGATCTCAGAATTAACAGCCCTCAGAGCAGCAACTTGTGTGTACATGATTCAGCTTTGCTCACACGAGTATTAATTATACTGTATTAATAAAGGAAACTCTTTAAGGAAGGATTGGGTGGCTCTTAAAAGAGCCTTTTATAGAAGCGTTGGTTGTTCAGACTGAGGTCAGTTTACTTCTTGGGTGCTGCTTTCTTGGCTTTGGGCTTAGCGACCTTCTTCACGGGGGTTTTCTTGGCTGCGGGGGCCTTTTTCACCACCTTCTTGGGGCTCTTGGCCACCTTTTTGGAGCTCTTTGCTACCTTTTTGGGGCTCTTGGCCACCTTCTTGGCCGCTGCGGGTTTCTTGGCCTTCTTCGGTGACTTCTTAGCGGCTACAACTTTCTTCACTGCCGCTGCTTTGGGCTTTTTGGCCGCTGCGGGTTTCTTGGCCGCGGGCTTCTTGGCTTTAGGAGCGGCTTTCTTTGCCGGTTTGTCGGCGGTGGTCTTGCTCACCTTGAAGGAGCCGGAGGCCCCGATCCCCTTGACCTGGACCAGAGTCCCCTTAGCCACCAGGCTCTTGATGGCGGTCTTGACGCGGGCCTTGTTCTTGTCCACATCGTATCCTCCGGCGGTCAGAGCCTTCTTGACGGCGGCAGCGGACACGCCGCTCCGCTCCTTGGACGCGCCCACGGTTTTCACGATGAGGTCGGAGACGCTGGGACCGACCGTCTTCGGCCTGGACGCCTTCTTCTTGGCCGCTTTGGGCGCGGCGGCGGCGGCCGCAGCTGGAGCTTCTTCTGCCATTTCGTCCCGCTGTTGTGCGTTTGTGTCGTCGAGGACTCGAGAGACTGAGACCGATGAAGAGCTCGAAGCAGCGGACTGCACTTAAACGCACCATGAGAACCGTGGAGACTCAACCCGGCCCGGAGCTCCTCGTGCAGCGTGAAAGTCGAGTCACGTGTGTTTTCTCTCCACTGATTAAAGACTAAAAGCTAAATGTGCTTCAGGTGCTGGAGGCTGAAGGCGGAGGAGCCGATAGCGGACTAGTTTCTCTTCGTGTTCAGGTCACGTGGAGCTCTGATGATCGATGGGTTTGGTTTGAGGAGCCTTCAAACGTCACCTACTCAGCGCCGAGGACAGCGCTGATCAGAGGCTTTTCACTCATTTCTCTCTTAAAAGTATTTAAAATACATCAAATCTCCATCAAAAGTCTGTTTCCAAACTGTCCACGTGTTGGTTCAGGGTGTCGACGTAAAACCACCATGAGATGTTGATCAGTATTTGATAAAGTGCAGTTTTTGTGGAAGCAGCAAACACACTGACGGTGGTTACAGTTGAATCAGAGCTGCTCACTGTGTCTTCTGCTAATAGTTTTATTCAACACATTAATCATCAAATATACTCACAGACTAATTTTTTTTGGGAAGCTTTTATATTCCTATAGGACTATTATTGTAACACATTATTTCTATTCTGATGAACATAATAATAGTGATAATAATGATTACATGTGTTAAGTCACAAATGAAGTATTTCTATGCCAACATTCAAGTCTTCTGATAATAAGTTATGATTCAAATGTAAATTTATTTATAATATAACGAAAAACCAATGTGGCCTTTTTTTGGAAACTCGAATGTTGTAATAACACAGTTATTGTACCACAGATGCAGTTCAGTTCAGTATTCAGCTGATGAAGGAATTCAGCACTAAAAGTTTGAATTTTTAGTGCTGTCATTATTATATTGTGATTATTTTGTATGTAGATCAACTGTGAACAGCGAAGCACATGACACGCGATTAGATGAATGAATAACTTATTAACTCACGATGCTTCTACTTCAGCCCAAATAACAAGCTGTCTGCTCGACACACGAGAAGGTGACATTTCTCTCTCAGTTGTTTTTATGTCCTGAGAAATCATGTTATTGATGTTTAATATGCATCAAGTTATAATCATCAAACACGCTCAAACTCAATGCTGCTTATTTTGGGAAGCTTTGATTAAGAAACACTCATTGACATTATTAGTGTAGAGCTGATGAATGAAGTCACCACAGATGCAAAGTTATATTGAGGTGAACATATCAATACTAATATTACTGTTAAATAGTTAAGTATTCCTGAGAAAAATTAAAAAATACTTAGTTCCAACCCTTGTATGAGTGTGGAACCTTCAATGCAGTAAAACACTAAAACACTTCAGAAGCAATAATATGAAATTAGAATGAGAATTGAGTTTGTGGCGTATCTCTGATTCATCAGCATCCAACGTTTTACAAATTAACGATTGTGTTCAGACTGACTCTCTTAAATTGCATGATTGGAACCTTTGGCCTGACAGGAAGACAGGAACAATATTGTTTGGGATAATAATAATAATAATAATAATAATATTATAATATTCAGATATTCACCCCCTTGACTTATATTTATCAACCAATATTTTCTGTTGGGTTTTAACTGGTATTTTTTCAGGGTAAAAGAAAATCAAGACAAGTGACGACTATATTTTAAGGACTGAAAAGTAAACTTTAACACGCCTGAAAGACAGGTGGTGTACAGAGTAAAAGAAATAAGAAATTAGTCCTCCACATGGACCCATTGTGGATGTGATGAGACGGAAATATGGAGATTATATTTTATATATATATATAAAAATATAAATCTATTATTTTATTTAAGCATTTACTTATACATGTATATAAGCATCCATTAATACATTAATTTATACTTGTCCTTTTATGCTCTCCATAGTTATACGTCAAATCAACATGTGATCTGAGATCAGATAATTTACTAAAACAGCTTTAGATAACAGAATATTTAAAATCCCACATAATTCTATTTTATTGCACCGCTAGGTTATCAGTTAATGATTTAATATCCTGTGACCACGAGGCGGACTTCATTTATGGGGAATGATTTGAGATGAAGATGAAGTTTAGGCCGTCAATGTCAGTGCCACACTAAAAAAAAATAAAAGAACATAATTTTAAAAGTGTTTAAACGCACGTTAAAAGGAAAATCAGCTGTTTATAGAGAACGTGAGTGGCCCTTAAAAGGACCGTTGTGGTTTTGGTAGTAAAAGTCGGCCTTTATCCGCCGAAGCCGTACAGGGTGCGTCCCTGTCTCTTCAGGGCGTAGACCACATCCATGGCGGTCACCGTCTTCCTCTTGGCGTGCTCGGTGTAGGTGACGGCGTCGCGGATCACGTTCTCCAGGAAGACCTTCAGCACACCGCGGGTCTCCTCGTAGATCAGGCCGGAGATGCGCTTCACTCCGCCGCGGCGAGCCAGACGGCGGATAGCGGGCTTGGTGATGCCCTGGATGTTGTCACGGAGGACTTTACGGTGACGCTTGGCGCCTCCTTTGCCGAGTCCCTTTCCTCCCTTTCCTCTTCCGCTCATGTTCACTGGTCGGTTTGGTACAAAGATGATGAACTCGAGTCAGTTCACAGACCTTTAAAGCCAGTCTGAGGACGTAATGGAAGACGGAGGCGGGGCTCTGACGCGGCGCTGCAGCGCCTCCTGCTGAACGAATGTGTGTTTTATTGTCTTCTGCGGGACCAAATAAATGCTGGAAAGATCAGTATCTGACTAACTTCTTCCATGTTTTAAACACGTTACATTGTGAATGTTTTCTACTCAAAAGTACTTGTGAATAAAATATCGACGATGATCTTGATCCAACTCTAAATCCATCAGCAGATATTAATTTTTGAATTATGTCTATTTATCCCATCTGATGTTTTGGCGACGTGGTTCACTAGTAACGTTAATGTACATCTGATGTTATTTATTATGGTTATATACCAGTCCAGACAAAGGTCTTCTTCGCCAGAATACATATAACTTATTGTACGATGTGTTTAATCACGCACTGGCCTGGCATCCATGGTTTGTAACTCGTGAGTTGCAACATTAGGAATAGTTTTCTGTTCTAGTTCTAGGCGGTGAGATGTTTATAGAATAAACATTAATTAATGCAGACTGATGCCAATATCAGGGACTATTCTCATACTTATGAATCATGAATTGATGGTCACGTTAAGGAAGGAGCTCTTTACAGAGAGTGAGGTGGCTCTTAAAAGAGCCGTTGTGGGGTCAGTAGGAGCAGACTTCTCAAGCTCGCTCCCCGCGGATGCGGCGGGCCAGCTGGATGTCTTTGGGCATGATGGTGACCCTCTTGGCGTGGATGGCGCACAGGTTGGTGTCCTCGAACAGGCCCACCAGGTAAGCCTCGCTGGACTCCTGCAGAGCCATAACGGCGGAGCTCTGGAAGCGCAGGTCGGTCTTGAAGTCCTGCGCGATCTCTCTCACCAGACGCTGGAAGGGCAGCTTGCGGATCAGCAGCTCCGTGGACTTCTGGTAGCGACGGATCTCCCTCAGGGCCACGGTACCGGGCCTGTACCGGTGAGGCTTCTTCACGCCGCCGGTGGCCGGGGCGCTCTTGCGGGCGGCCTTGGTGGCCAGCTGCTTCCTGGGGGCTTTGCCTCCGGTGGACTTACGGGCGGTCTGCTTGGTTCGTGCCATGATCGACTAGTCTCGCTCTGGTGAAGTGAACTCTGAGAGGAGACACGCGGCTCTTAAAGTGTGGACCGGCTGTGGAGCGGTGACGCAGCTTCAGACCTCGGCTCCTGATTGGTGGAGGACTCCTCCCGGAGCTCAGCCGCGCCTCCACAGGAGAGTCTGCGATGCTCATTGGTGGAAAACTATTTCAAACTGTCCGCCGAATCTCAGAGCTCCCGCCCTCGGTGCTCGTGCCTGGAGCCGCCCGGCTCGCTCCACGGACACGTGCATTGTTCGCTGGTGCACCTTATTTCTGACTTTTTTAAACTTTATTTTTAATTTAAATTCCTCTTGCACCACGTTGTCTTGTAATCATTCTTATAAAATATTTCTTATCAACCTACATCTAATATAAAACTGTTTTTTCATGGACTACTGGGATGTATGATTGTATGTGTATGTGTTGTTTTGTACTAGTGTGTCTCTCGTGAGCAACTAGTCAGTATAATTTGTGGTGATTGTGTACTTTACAGTTTTGTGCTACCACTATAAATTTAATCATGGGCCCCCACCTATAAGCTTTCTTTAGCTTCTTTGGGGGACCCATTCACCTTACCCAATTAATCTTGTACCTCCCCAGCTGTGTTATGTTTCAAGTGGTATTGTGTGAATAAATAAAATTCATTCATTCATTCTCTGATTCAAATTCCTCATGTCTGATATAATTTGGTAATAAATGTTCCTGATTCCTGATAATATAAACCATATAGTTTGAGATTAAATTCCTCTCTGCTGCCAGTCACTGACTTGAGCTTATTTGAATTTACGTTAAATAGACTATTTACAGCAGATGGAACAAAGCTGACGCCAAGCAGAGCTGATTGGCTGTTGCCCTGCGGACACGTAGTACCTATTCACTGTGTAACGCCATTAACTACTATTTGCCGTGTAACACCATTAACTACTATTTGCCGTGTAACGCCATTAACTACTATTTGCCGTGTAACGCCATTAACTACTATTTGCCGTGTAACACCATTAACTACTATTTGCCGTGTAACACCATTAACTACTATTTGCCGTGTAACGCCATTAACTACTATTTGCCGTGTAACGCCATTAACTACTATTTGCCGTGTAACGCCATTAACTACTATTTGCCGTGTAACGTCATTAACTACTATTTGCCGTGTAACGCCATTAACTACTATTTGCCGTGTAACGTCATTAAATCACAGATTACAACGGTCCCAACGTCTCGTTGCCATCTGTAAAGATAATCTTATTTATAAGAGAATTTTTATTTTGAAAAATGAACTGTTCAAAGGAAAAGGTTAGTCAAAGAGAATCCACATGCAAACACCTATTTACCCGATCAAGTGCAACAAAGACTGAATGTGCGGACGGGAACAGAATCTTCTTCCCAGCAACAGGTTGTTCAGCCAAAGGAAAGCGCTGATGGACCATCTGTTAGAGCTCAGGATATGACTCCTCTAACACAACCTGGATATAATGATCATAATCAAGGTGATGTCTATCACATCATTCAGAAGCAAAGTGACATAACCACTCTTCTAGCTCAACACAATCTCTCTTCTACTTTACCACCAAGAGACATTCCCGTTTATGATGGGGATCCCTTGCAATATGGAGTTTTCATCAGGGCATTCGAGAGAGGAGTGGAAAGAAAGACTGATGACTACAGTGACTGCCTGCATTTCCTAGAGCAATATACCAGAGGGTATCCAAAGGATTTAGTCCACAGCCGTCAAGATTTGTCTTCGGCTGAGGGCTATGAAAGAGCAAAAGAGCTGCTTAAAGAACATTTTGGTAGCGAACATGAGATTGCTACAGCATACATGGACAAAGCATTTGCCTGGCCAGCGATCAAGCCAGAGGACGTGAAAGCATTGCGAGCGTTTACATTATTCCTGAGAGGTTGTTGCAATGCAATGGAACAACTCACCTATATGGAGGAGTTGAACGTCGCTCCAGTATGAAGACCATTCTTCTGAAACTGCCTTACAAGCTCAGAGACAAGTGGAGGAATAGGGCATGTCAGCTCCAGGAACAACATGGACGTCGAGCTAGTTTCTCTGGCTTGGTAGACTTCATGGAGATCGGATCCACTTTTTGGGAACATCCAGGATGTCACAGCAAGAGAGAGGCCGAGACCAAGAGGAAGCAGTTTTGCAACTACTGCAACACCTGTGGAAATGCCAATACAAGAAAAAATGACAAGTGGAATGAAAAATGTATCCGTCACTAACCCTCAAAATTCCTGTTTGTTCTGTGAGAGAGATGGTCACACATTGGTGCGGTGTCCACAGACCAGGAAAAAGATGCACAGGGAAAAAATTGACTTCTTAAAGAAAAGGGGAGTCTGTTTTGGCTGTTTGAAGGTAGGACACATGAGCAAAGACTGCGATAGTTGTTTGACTTGTGACATCTGCAACAAAAATCATCCTGAAATACTTCATATTGAATAAAGAGACATAGGAAGGAAAACAGAATTGGATGGAAAATCAATTGGGAGCAATGCTGTTCTCTCACCTCATACATGTGGGCATATTGGGGCCGGTGAAGAAGCCTGTCTCTTCTCTATTGTTCCAGTACAAGTTAAGACCCCCAAGGGAGACACTGTGTTGCAGACGTATGCGTTTTTTAGACCATGGATGCTCAGCCACCTTCTGCACAGAAAGCCTGATGAGAAGACTGAATGTAACAGGACAAAAGACTAGTATTCTTTTGCGTACAATGAACCAAGTGAAACCTGTGACTAGTCATCATATCCCAGGTTTAGAGATATCAAGTCTGGACAAAACTGATTTCATACAACTGCCCAATGTATTTACACACAAGATCATGCCTGTTTCCAAGCTCAACATTCCCAGACAAGAAGACCTGATTCAATGGCCTTACTCGAAGGATGTCAAGATTCATTATATAGATTCTGGCATTGACCTGCTCATAGGCACAAATGCGTCTAAGGCATTGGAACCTTGGGAGGTGGTCAACAGCCAAGCCAATGGACCATACGCTGTGAGGACCCTATTGGGGTGGGTCATATATGGTCCTTTGAGAGGAGACAACAGCAGGGATGAGAATGGCTGCCCTGCTGCTGCTGTCAACCGACTGTCCATCGTGAACTTAGAGGAGCTACTGGTTAAACAATACAATCACGACTACAATGAAGAAACCTGCAAGGAAACAGAGAAAATGTCCAGAGAAGAGATAAAATTCCTGGATATCGTGAATCACTCATCAAAAATTACAGATGGTCACTATTGCATAGACTTACCTTTCAAGCAAGAAAATCCCCGCATGCCAAGCAACCGTTGCATAGCAGAGCAACGCATCCAAAGCCTGAAACGCAAGTTTGTTACAAATGAGAGGTTTCGCGAAGAATATACAACTTTTCTCAAAGAAATGGTTAACAACGGCTATGCGGAAAGGATACCAGAGGATCAGCTGAATCATACTGATGGGAAACTCTGGTACATCCCACATCACGGGGTGTATCACCCGAGGAAAGGAACCTTGAGAGCGGGAACATCGCTTAATGAACAATTGCTACGGGGTCCAGATCTTACTAACTCACTTATAGGAGTACTCCTCAGATTCAGACAAGAGCCTGTTGCCCTGATGGCTGACATCAAAGCATTGTTTCACCAGGTCAGACAACCATATTGACTACTTGCGATTCCTATGGTGGCCTGATGGTGACGTGCAGCAGGATCTCGTCGAATGTCGGATGAAAGTACACCTCTTTGGAGCAGTGTCATCGGCGAGTTGTGCAAATTTTGCACTAAGAAAGACCGCTGAAGATAACCAAACTCACTTTCCAGCAGAGGTTATAGACACCGTAAAAAACAACTTTTACGTAGATGATTGTTTGAAATCCATGTCCACAGAACAGGGCGCTGTTCTTATGGTAAGAGACCTGACCACTCTCTGCCAGAAGGGAGGATTCATACTATCTAAGTGGATCAGCAACAGCCGTAAGGTATTGGCATCCATTCCACAAGAAAACAGAACCAAGGAAAAAAAAGAGTTGGACTTGGACAACCTGCCGACGGAAAGAGCACTAGGATTGGACTGGTGCGTTGAGACAGACATGTTCACGTTCAGAATGACTGCACCCTCACGAGCATACACCAGACGCGGCATCCTGTCCGTGGTTGGCTCTGTATACGACCCTTTGGGATTCCTGGCGCCATTTGTTCTGCCAGCCAAACTGATTATGTAGGAACTCTGTAGAAAACACCTTGGATGGGATGAAAACACACCCCAAACCATTTCTCAACAATGGACACAATGGCTGACAGATCTAAACAACATGACAGAGTTAAAAGTGGACCGTTGCATGAAGCCCACAAACTTTGGTCAAATTGGACATGCACAGTTACACCACTTTTCCGACGACAGCGAAAGTGGATACGGTACATTTTCATATCTTCGACTGGAAAACAACGAAAAGGAGGTGCACGTTGCCTTCATGATGGGAAAAGCAAGAGTAGCACCATTAAAGCAAGTAACGATTCCCAGATTGGAGCTCACTGCTGCAGTTCTAGCTGTCAAAGTGAATATAACGCTTCGGAGAGAATTACAGCTTCAGCTGAACAAATCCTCCTTCTGGACGGATAGCACAACAGTGCTGAAATACATCACCAACGAAACCAAACGTTTACGAACCTTCGTAGCAAATAGAATCTCCTTCGTAAGGGACGCTACCGACGTGTCACAATGGAGATATGTCAGCACAAAGGAAAATCCGGCAGATGAAGCCTCACAGGCGTCTTTTTCTAAACCACGTGAAGCTTTGACGTGTGTGTGTGTTTGTGTGTGTGTTTGTGTTTGTCTCGTTGTGCGATCTTTTGATCAATGTGGACGTTTTATAAAATCCTACCATGGAATATTCCTTTTGTACATGACTTCTAATAATAACTGCTTTTCCCCTAAAAGATTAACCGGCCGCCTCCGTTCTTCTTTCCTCATTTCAGGTTTTCAGATTCAGAGAAGAAGAAATGTGA